ATCACATATAACTTAAATAGTCAACAATGTCACAAGCTTGACTATGTATGATATTAACCTTTTCCTAGTTGACTTTCTAATTAGACTACTCCACCACGGCCATGAAGTTGGAACATGTGCAATTAATTTTACGGACTTCCTACAAATTATTAAGGACAACCCTGCATGTCTAGTCTCCTGATCTGTTGAATGTACTTAGTCTAATAAACTGTTTAATGCACTAGTTCCAGAACACAAACAGCTGGCAAGACAGATGTGCACATGGAAATTTGAGGTTATCAACAGTCTACTGTGTTGAATGAAAGTACTAATTTCATTATGGAATGTACCAACACAGATGGGCTTTCATGCTAACAGCGGACAAGACCATAGTTCCATGCACAAGAATAAGCTAGACACTCTAGTCTCACCCACAAGCCACCCAAGAACATTTTACCCACAACTTTAGAACTGTGGAACAGACTAGCACTGAACAAGACAGATAAATCAAAATCTTTAATGTGAAGTCAATGCCCTCTAAGTGTATACTGCCATGCTGTGCGTGAAGAATGATATACATCAAGTTCACAAGACATTTAGTAGTACCATCAGCCGAATGTTAGGTGTCAAAAAACCTACCTGCTCTCAATGATTTGTGTTCCATTCACCAAAGCTTCATACTTGGCCTATATAAAGAGAGATAAGAAGAAATAAATATCTGTGTGCTGCATGACTTTTCATTGTAGGCTTGATCTACTTTGAATGATACTGTTACAGTAGTACAGACACACACAGACTCTTTTAAAAGTCAGTCTTGTACAGTCCATTTCATATTATGGCAATGCATAGATAAGCAGATATTCTAACCCCCAAGAAATAAAAGGCTTAACATTTTGACGTTCTATACTGCGGGTCCATCTGTGGACACAGATATTTATCTCAATATTGTTTGTCACATTATGAAGAGAATAGTAATGTATAGAGCTGTACATGTTATACCTTTGTTTGATTCCTTGTCATGATAACTGCTGTAGCACTTTGGTCAAACTGTGAAAATTGGAGTAAACATACTGGTTGTACAAATGGAGAACAAAGAAATTCTACATGGGTATTACACAGTTATTCAATCAATGCAAATAAGGACAGAAAATCTCTACAAAACATGTACTTCATTCATGCATCAGAAGGGGGCCTCACAAAGAAAGGATTGTGTGTCAAGAATCATATACATGTATGTGAGGGACCACAGTTGAAGCATTAGTCTAAAAAAAGAAGACTATAACAATATTATCTCATGATTTTGCAGATGGATCGCTCTGCATTGCTGAAAGGCCTAGATGTAAAGTCCAGTGTACCAATAGTGGCAATACACATCACTAGTCGGCAGGTTTTGCTAGGGTCATTCGGGAAACAGGAAACACATTTTTTCCCTAAGCCTAAGCTTTTGTTACATGTACCAAATTTGCATGATTAAGCCACACTGACAAACATTTCTTGACTGACCTGTGGCCTGCCTGCCCTGCCGATCATCTGCAGCACCTGCAGCTCAGAGTACTCCTCGTACATGCCACAGGTGTAGTGAAGGGTGGACTTGATAATAACCAGGTGTGCTGGCAGGTTCACTCCCATGGCCAGAGTACTGGTTGATACTGGTCACAATGTAAAGGTAAGAAACCCCTTATAGCCATTTAAGTACAAAATAACATAATCCATCGCACATAGTGACACTGACAGTTTTGCAACAGATGGGCAACATACATACAATACATGCACAAAACATGCATCAATCAATCACTTTGTTGATACTGGTCACAGGAAAACCATTAAAGTAAAAGTCCTTCCCACACCACATGGTGCATAGGGCAGTTCCCATCTCCAGTTCAATAGCCCTTGGGCCACACTGCAGAAAGGGTTTAGTCCACCGGTAGTGGTGTGCATTTAGCTACCATACTATTTCCCAAATGCTGCACACAACCACATCATTTGCATTAACAACAAACAGCCCAAAAGATGAGCTACTGTCTCAATACTTACTGAGCACAGGTATGTCCCCTTGAGTAAAGGCTGTCTCGATGGCCTTTCTGTCTGTGGGTTCCAGCCCAGCGTGGTGATACGCAACACCAAACAGAACAAGATCTGAAACATAGTAAAATGCAGTGAATATCACCCCATAGTAATATAAGCCTCTTTTCATGTATTGAATCAAGATGTTGGCATATTATTTTAAGTACTGCTGGTTGGAGTTCTATAGAGCAAACTGCATCACCCTACAATCATATAAAGCAGACTGCCTCAGACTATAACACAAATTAAAATATATAAATTGATTTGGAAGTTATATTGCTTAATATCATTCAGAAAGTTGATGTTGATCAGTTTCTTTCTGTGCTTCATACATGTAACTAGCATTGCATCGATGACTCTTCTTCATGCAGTACCATACCAATTTGATAGGAGGCAGTACACTCACCACTTGTGGAGTAAAACATGGTTATAGAATATCATACAATCATGTAGTTCATGAATTAAAGAAACCAAAAATTATCCAGAAGAATAGGGCTTACACAGTGTGCTTGAACAAACTGGGGACAATACAGGCTAATTAATACAGTCTCAATCACTCAATAACTATAAACAATGATTTGAGTCGCTAGAGAATCCTGGGTCTGACCTTGGTGCTGATTATTCAGTATAAATTGTTTAAGAGAAGCTAACTTAAAATCTGACAACACTAACATAAGATGATGTACCTCTCAACTTGTGGTCTCTGAGCATGTTTGCAACTTTTGCCAGCCTAAGGAGGAAATATTTCTCAGTTACCAGCATGCGTATGTTACCTGAAATCTACAAATCAAACAACATGGGAGAAAATCTTACAAAAACAAAACAAAAAGTTGCTCTTTGCTAGTTCTTTGGAACAAATTAATGTCATTCTGGTTTGCGTGTTTGAAGACTTGTTGTGAACAGCATACAAGTGGAAGATTGTACCTTTGTTTATGTGCAGCATTCATGACAAACTTAGCATCTTTCACCAGCATAGACGCACACTGCACTGAGCCTTTCCTAGTTGCACAGAACTGGAAACAAAACAATGTTACCTTACTCGTCATGATTAATAGTGTTAAACTTCAAAGGGACATTCCCTTTATTTTTCCTCTGTTCAAAATGTATCAAATTCTAAACATGCAAATACAATCTTGTTTGAGCTATATTGCCTCAACAAATTTCAATTTACAATTTACAAATTTCTGTTTTTCAATAGTAATTCAACTGTACTAGTACACGTTGTTGAAGAAGTGCCTATGACAAAACATATGTTACAGTACAAAGAGTTGGGCTAAAAGTGCTTCCTTGTTGAAACTTACCACTAGAGTGGGTTTCTGATCTGAGTAGGTTTGGATGACACCTGGGATCTTGTAGTTCAGGGACAGATCAAACCTAAACTCAGAGCTGCCTGAGGAACAGGGATAACCCAAAATAACCTTCCTCAACTTCACTGGACGGTAACTCTCATCCATCCTAGAAGAAAACAGACAACAACAGGACATGACTGGAAAGTTGGCGAGTGGACCATATATCTGAAGAAGGTTGATGAGATCAACTGAAAATTTATGGTGAGTTTCTTTCCTGTGTTGGAACAAAGTTTAAACTCCCAAACATCTATGACCTAAATGTAGTTTATCAATTTTGCAAGAATTGATCAACAATATCTTTGATTCTCACTCACTCATTCACTCAGTCAAGTATTTTAGATTGCAGAAACAAATTAACATCATTATAGGGACACAGGTACACAATGGCAATTCAGTCAAGTGAATATCTACAAAAAGGACACAGACAAGAAAACTACGAACAACATACTTGTGGTAAACTGCAGTGGCATCTTCTTTCCCAAGCCATGCTGCAACCTGTGAATAGAAGTAAATAGAGAGGCTAAAGGTATCTTAATAAATAGACGTACTTACTGGGTTGGTTAAAACCAAACCTAATTGAAATTACTGTTTACAAATAAATGATACTGAAAAAAAGATTGTGAAACAACAACGAATATGTGATCAACATACTATGTATACATACATCCTCCACATTGGGTATGGTGGCAGACACAGCCACAAATCTGATGCACGCTGCAGACTGGGCCCTCGCTGACTCATACTCAGAGTTGGTGACGTTTTCCCTGCCCACCACAGCTTGGATGGTCTTCATTCTGCTCACCACAGCCTCCATTGTTGCACCTCTGTTCTCATCACTAATGAGATGGACCTTAAAACAGTCTTTGTAAGTATCATGAGCAAGCGAATAGCCAAAGTAGACAAAACTGCTATTAGAATTAAATTATTGCATTTATGGGTGGTCAGCTGTTTGGTTAGTACATTTATGTTGATATCAGTCACAATAAATGTCATTGAACTGCATTTTGATGTCTCCAACAAAGCTGGTACACTAGCTTCCCTAGTTAACATGCTTAATGTCATATTAACTTGGATATCATGTAAAGATCACTTACCATAAATACACACATTACACTTCTTAACAGAAGCTACAAAAAGCATTTGATTTAGTAGATACATTGATACGTTCAAAGAAAGGGAGAAAAATGTGATCAGTTTTCTTACCTCATCAATGAGAAAGAGTCGGACCAGCTGCACCAGAGACTTGTTATCCCTCCACTTCCTTGTCATACTGTCCCACTTTTCCTGTTGACCACCAAATACACACGCAAGAATCCCAGGAAAATATGTAACAGCCTGACTGAGAGTATATCCCTTTTAGACATGGAACTTCTTTCTGCACCAGGAGCTTAGAAATGTGTTGGTGCTGTCCTTGGTGCTGAACCTCTTTATAGATTGTTGAGTTTCTTTCAAATTGGTTTTCCCCCCTTTACTGAATACTTATAGAATTACTGTGATGGTTCAATAGCCCTTGGGCCACACAGTTGTGCAATTACTACAGCAGGGGGCTAGTCAATTCATAGTGGTGTGTGTTTAGCGCCCAAATACTGAGTGCTAAGCAGAGAAAGCAGTCTTTGTATGACTTGGCTGGGGATCGAACTCACGACCTACCGATTGCAAGGCAAGCACTCTTCCACTTGGCCATTGCACTTATTGACAACAACATGGTAAGCATCAATATGAAGTTAAACTTTCTACTTACAGGAGTTGTCAGGACTACATGACAGTCTCTCAGCTGGTAGTAGTCGTCAATCTCGGAGTCGCCGGTCAGTTCTTGGCACTTGAGCCCGAGAGGACCAAACTTCTCTTTCCAGTCTAGATACCGCTCACTACACAGGGCCTTCATAGGAGCCACTGGTCAACAAAGATGGGTCAAAATCAGCCTCAGATTTTCATACAAGTAAACAAGTTTTTAAAAACATAGTATTTGGATTTTGCAGCTTTGAAATGGTCAGTTGTACACTCAGTGGACGAAACAATGAAGCAACTAATCATCAATTTCCCATCAGTCATTCAGTTTCCTCCAAAGAAGGATTCAAAAGATTAAGGAAATTTTTTTAAATCTTAGCTAGTGTATTGATGACTTGAGAAATGAACAATAGATAAGAAATTGAGCATTACATACTGTAGACAATCTTGGCATTGTAGACAGGGGTGTTGCCTAGCCTGACTAGTAGCCTGATGATGGCCAGCTCAAAGATGACGGTCTTCCCTGATCCAGTTGGGGCACACACAACAAGGGGCTTGTCTGTGTACAATACCTAGACAAAGAAACACTGTACATGTAGCATAACTGATGCAGTGTTAGGCTTATTAATTTTCTGACCTCTTCTGTCTTAATCTGTATCAGTATAGCCGGTATAACTGCCCTTTGGCATAACACATCAGCTTTGCAGGCATGCGGTGCAGCAGCAGCTGGCTACATTACACCAAACAACTTAAATAATGAAAGAAATGATATGGGATTCATTTCCAAGTAAACTTACATCATCCAAGACTTTGGACTGCACAATGTTGAAGTAGGGGAACTCCTTGAAGACCGACCGGAACTGTTCAGCTATGGAACAATTAAGGATGCAATCATTTGCAACAAAAACTACACAAACACAAAACACACACACACAACGCACAAATGTACACAACACAGACACACTTAACTTTGGCTTTGACTTTATTCAGATCCACCTTTAGCTTTAGCATTTAGCTTCGCTATTCTACCAGTGGTCCATACACACAAAATTGTCTAAAATCAACAGTTGCTGACAATGATAGTTAAAAAATGTGGGAAAGGATACGAATCTCTTGGACTGATCTCAGTTGTCTTGTTTCTCCGGTTACCGTCCCTCCTGGAGTCACACCTGAAATATGAATTTCATCTAGAATGCCAACATTTCATTACACTATTCCTGTACTTTTACATCCAAAAATGACGTAAAGGATAAGCCTGGAAGCTATCAAATCAAAAACTATAACATGTATAATAATCTCAAGATATAGCAGCAGCAGACACCATTCTGTTGGATTTGCAAACTTTTCAGATTCTGTCAGTATTTCAAATTCTGCAACATTTAGTGGAAGAAACTCAACAACACCAATTTACAAATGGAAAGCGGCCTTACTTGGAATAGTAAGAGGCATTGGTGTGCTGCCATAGAGTTGCCTGGCAGTACGGTTTCTTAAGGGTTGTGTATTCGCTTCCACTTCTGTATCAGGTGTCATAAGATGGCTCTGTTGTGAAGGACCATGTCTTGCAGGTGTTGCGTTAATGTGAGTAGGCTGTCTACCCTGTAGCACACCTCTTTGTTGAAAGATATGCTCAGGCTGCGAGTACTGTCTTGGCTCATTAGGGAGTCTTTCCTCTTGGCCATACTCTGGCTGAATGGAGGGTGGATTGTGACCTGTTCTACTAGGATTGGTGGCAGGTCTGAATGGAGTTTTGAACAATGGCCTACAAAGCAGAACATGAAAATGATGTTCCATATACATGTAGTAGTGTACCTGTTACATAATAACCTGCACAACAATTGTACAGGGTACAAAGTTGGTATCTTCTGATAAAAATCTACAATTCCAGAAGGCTAACCTACCTAATATAAGAGTGGGTGGGAATGATCAGCCTTTACAATCACTGGAAGAATTTCTAACCAGTTACATACTAGCTTTTCCAAATGGACCTCTAACTCTCAGAGATGCAAATAAACTGTGTTGATGACACTACAGGTTAAAGAGGAAACCTTGAGTACCGTGCAGTTCTGTAAGCAGCAACACTCTGACTCTGAGGTCTCTGTGAGGTTGTCAACTCGTTGTGGATGGAGGCTTGACTAGGAGGAATGATATCATCATCCACTGAGGTAATTTGAGACAACAAGGTAGAACCTGGAAACCCAAGAGAAAGTACAAATAAAGGTTCAGCCATTCCTCGAGAGTTCTGAGTTTGCTTTATGCTAATGCTTCTTTTATGAAAAGTAAAGTTATCTCAAACCAGTTTTAGCTTACTAAAGAGCTACTAATTTCCCACTGGTCGTAATAGGGAAGACAGAACCTAGAGCTTTTGACCAGTCACTCATGGAATGACAACTCGCTTTCTTAACAACCACAACTCTAAGACAAACTAATTAACTACCATTGAATGCGGACAAACTTTCATGATGATAATTTATCCATTTTTGACCTGAATGTTGCTGCCTGTCCTCAAACTGCGACAGAGGACCCTGTGATGCCTGCAGCAGTTGTGTGGATGGAAACTCATCCATGGATGATGGGGAGGGGGATGCTGCAGCTGCCTCTGTAGCGTACTTCTGCATTCTCCCTGTCAATAGTTGTATTTGCTGTGTTACTTTTTTTCATGCCACTATAAGTTAGTTCTCATATCTTGCTAGGATGGTAATGCAACTTGTTCTCATATCTTGCTAAGAATGTGATAAATATATGTCTCATACGGGATGATACAGTGCACACAAAATACAGTGTGTTGTTTATTTTTGGAGCTCAGCATAGGCTCTCAACTTGAAGTTGAAGGTCTGTCTCTCTTTGTGTATATGAAACACCTTTACCATATTCTGAAAAAAAAAATTCTCACCTGTCTTATCTGTATCACTCTGTCCAAAGAAGAAGGTGTCGATGAAGTCGTCCTGCATCTTGTAATCTTTACATGTTCTGAAAACAGATGCAGCCTTAGATAACACACACTTCTTCATGTTACACACTGACTACACCAAATAAATGGATGGAAAGTCAGGCAATTTCATATATCAGCCACTAAGGATAGAACTCAAGTCAGAGAGGTAACACCCTTAGCCACCTAGAAAGATATTGCTCTCGGGGACTGACAATATAATTTTGGATGTATTGTTGTTGTTGCAAATATGGCGCATCTCAGACGACATTTTCACCAAAAATATACGACTACCCAAATAATGCCGCGGCGCGGGTCAACTAATGCAACAACAAGCTTCTTCTTCTAAGTGTACAACAATTGTAGTCTATGAAAGATATTCTGACAGAAATTAAGGTGCTAAATTATAAACTTTACCTGAAAATTGAAAAAAATCCCCCTCCGACCTAGCTGAAACTATCGTCGCTTGAAAAGACCGCCATGTTCCTGACGTCACCAAACCGTCCCACGAGCCTTTGCGCGGGAACAAAGTTTCTCGTAAACTTTTTCACTGCTGAAAAACTACAGCGACTTAGTTCAAATGCAACATTTTACTGTAAAACGCAACAAGACAAGAATTTAGGATGGTTCAACAACTCCTAATGTCTATATGTCGTCAAAACAAATTGCTTTTTAAAGAACTCCGTGAAGCAACAATAGTCGCAACAATAGCGATGTTCCAGAACAAGACTTCGGTTTGCTCCCGCTACCGTAGCAACGTAGCGGCACAAACAGATCTCCCGCGGACCAGAACGCATCGTTCGTTTCATTCCCCGCTGTTATCGCTGTTTGTTTTGCTAATTCACTGCGTTTTATCGCATTTCTGAAATGGATCGACTAATTTCCGAGAGTACTAGTGTCTACTCTCGCAGAAACCGCCTGGCAAGGTATGTTAGCGTCCTTCTTCTGTTTATTATTTGTCGTGTTTAACGCAGCACAGTATTAGGCAATTGTAATCTGTATTTTAACACTGTTATTCATATCACAAAAGGTTGACAGTACTTCCAGGTGATTCCGGAAAGCCTAGAAAAATTTGCTCTCATTTTTCTTCGCTATTTCATTATGTACATTACGATAATAACTTTAATGCACAGCAATTATGTTCGAGACAACGTATGAGAATTTCTGAATTTCTTGTAGTATGTATACTTTTCTTAGTTGGACTCCAATCCTCAGAAAATAGCGGAAAACAACTCCGAATACCAAGTAACCACATCAGATTGTGGATAGGGTGAAGATATTTTTGTGGATATCGACATTGTGGATAGTATGAATACATTTTTTGCACCTTTATCATCTACAGGTCTACTCATGTGAGCAGACTTGTAAAGGATTACGAGGCTCTGTCCAGCCGGACAGGTCCTGAACACGCTGCGGCCGCAGTGATGACACCCGTCCGGGCTCTTCCCGACGCCGATCAAGTGATATCGATGTTGAGCAGGTAGATCTATTTTTCGATGTCTACAAGTATGTATTGATGTTTGAGTTTAGCATACATAGTAGCTATTCTTCCTGTTGGTCTGTTCAGGCATTTGATAACTGCACGACTTCCACCATATATTTTCTCCTGTTGGAAAATCAGTGACTGTAAATGGATGTTTTTTTCTTAATTTTTGTCTTCCTTTCTGAACACAGACGCTCCGTCCGAGATATGAAGGAAGCGATTGAGGCAAGGATTTGCCCCGCTCCATCTGACCCTAGTGTGGTTGTCAGTGTGACACCCGTCTTGGCTCTGCCCGACCCGGATAATGTGATGTTGAGCAGGTATTTCTATTTTTCGATGCCTATGTATTTATGTTTGAGTTTAGAATACGTGGTAGTTATTCTTCCTGTTGCCCTACATTTATACACACTACATCGCACACAGGAAGATGTACAAAGCATACTATTACATACATTGTAACCGTAAGGAAGAGCAATAAAAGACAACTTAACACAAAACCACATACATCAGCTAAAAAAAATTACCCCAGGCCTTATAACATCAGTTCATGCCATGTGCTAGACATTCTGTATAGTAAAACTTAATGTGCTCTGAAACGTGTGGAAATGTACTGGGGTTGTTGAATAAGTTTAAGCATTTGATAATTACGATTTTTTTTTTCGTCTACCGGAAACTTAATGACTGTTAAAGATTGCGTTCACATGGATGGTTTGTAATTTTCGTCTTTTCTTTCTAAACACAGACGCTCCGTCCGAGATATGAAGCTGAAGATTGAGGCGAGATCCAATCCCTCTCCTCCAGGCCGTAGTGTGGTTATCAGAAAACCACAGAAGACGGTTGGTACCATTCAACCAGCCCAACCCGAGCTTGTTGGCGACAGTGCTGGTGAGACCACGGATCCAGCTGCAGGGGATCTCCCGCGTGAGGTCGTTGACAAAGTAATGCTGAAGGCACAGAAGCCGGGCCGTTCCCGCTCGAGCTCCCTCCCCCCAACACCAAAGTCAGCTGGTGTCAAGCAGCGGGAAGAGGGCCGTTCGAGGTCCCTGGGCCGCCTGGATGATGTTACCGCCGATTTCTTGAAATCGGATCTGCTTCCTAACCTCAAAAAAGTCGTCCTGAAGGCAGAGAAGCCGTACCGCTCCCGGTCCCTTCCTTCACGAGCGTCGGCTGGTGGTAAGCTGCGGAAGGAGAGTCGTTCAAGGTCCCTGGGCCGCCTGGATGACGTCGACCTAGATGCCGATTTCCTGAAATCGGATCTGCTTCCTACCCGCTCTGATGTAGCTGGGAAGTCTACCCCATCGGTCTACCCCAGTGTGAAGCTGCAGAAGCCGCGCCGCGCACGGTCCCTCCCCCCAACACCAAAGTCAGCTGGTGTCAAGCAGCAGAAAGAGGGCCGCTCAAGGTCCCTGGGCCGACTGGATGATGTTACCGATGATTTCCTGAAATCGGATCTCCTTCCTACCCTCAAAAAAGTCGTCCTGAAGGCAGAGAAGCCGTACCGCTCCCGGTCCCTTCCTTCACGAGCGTCGGCTGGTGGGCCGCGGAAGGAGGGCCGTTCAAGGTCCCTTAGCCGCCTGGATGACGTCGACCTGGCTGCCGATTTCCTGAAATCGGATCTGCTCCCTACCCTCTTCCTGGATAAAGCTGAAGCTGGAAAGGCATCGGTCCTCCCCACTATGAAGCTGCAGAAGCCGGGCCGAGCACACTCTGCTGACGCCGCTCGCGCTCCACGAAAGCCCGCAGCCTCCAAACCACTGACGACGGTCCGGGCCGCATCACTCACCCGCCTGGATGATGGTGTGGTGAGCACTCAGAATATCCTGAGCTCCCTCCTGGATGCTGCCTCCGCCGCAAAGGTCTGGGCTGGTCTGGCGCCGCGGAAGCCGGTACGCTCACACTCTGCTGACGCCGCTCGCACTCCACGACAGCCCGCAGCCTCCAAGCTGAGGAAAGAAGTCCGGGCCGCATCGCTCACGCGCCTAGATGATGTAAAAGTCGGTGTGGAGAGCACTAAGGAGATCCTGAGCTCCCTCCTGGATGCTGCCTCCGCCGCAAAAGCCTGGGCTGGTCTGGCGCCGAAGAAGCCGCCACGCGCCAGATCTCTGGAAGTCGTCGCTCGCACTGCAAGAAAGCCTTCAGCCTCCAAACCACGGGAAGCTGCAGTTGTACGCGCTCTGTCGCTATCCCACATGGATGATCTGGCACCCGATGTGGGGGTCAATCCAGAGCATCTCATGAGGTCACTCTGCATGGGTCGTGGCTCTACCGATGCGGTGATCCTGAAGAAAGAGAAGACGGGCCGCGCCCGCTCACTGGCAGCCGTCCCCGCTGTCGTCCAGTCCCGCCGGGCCAGGGCCAGGTCCCTGTCTGTAACCCGCATCGATGCCTGCAAGGGGGTCAATCCAGTAAAGCCAGCAGACCTGCTGAAGACCCTGTGCCTGGGAGATGGAACCGGAAAGGCCAGGATCACACGGAAACGGCAGCAAGTGGACACAGCCTCCACCAAGCCGCTGGCCGACGCAGCCGCAAGAGCCACGGAAGGCACGCCCGTCCTCCAGCCTCCAACCAAGCCGTCCAGGTTTGTTTGTTTGTTTGTTTACTTATTTCTTAATTTGCACATGTTAAAAAAAACAAGTAGAATAAGTATAAAATTATATAAAAGAAAAACAGGAGGAGGTAGGAAGTCTTCGGGGCTTGTACAGGGCCCTCCTCCTTCCTAACTTAATCAACAAATGATAGTCATGAAATTAATATGATAATTGAAAAAGAATTAACGTAAACGAAAGATGTAACTAAGAAATTAATACAGATAAGTGGATATCATGAGATTAATATAGTATTCAAAATGAATTAACGTTAACAAAGATTTAGCAAAGGAAACTACATGTAATACATTTAGACGGTGTAACAAAGGAGGTCGTTAAATACAACGTAAATTTTACAGAACCATTATACTGGAAATGAACACAACTGAATTATTTCACAGGTTCAAGGAATACGTGTTGTATAGAAACAACTTTGGGCAGTTCGGCTTCTCCCTTCTCACCACGCTGACGCCCGACCTGGAACGGGTCCATATAGTGTTCCAGGCTGCCGACAGCATCGATGTCTTACCAGGTGTGTAAGGATATCACAACGTTAAAGTGTAAAGTAAGAAGTCTGATTATCACAATGCAATTTTAAGAAGAGTTTTTAAATTGTAAGAATATACAACGTTTAGCAAGTATCTGAGATAATTTTGTTGTTGTAACGTACGTATGCTTCTATGTTTTGTCACAACTCAATTCAGCTACTGTAAACCGACATAGCTGCTTGACTGTGACAACTGTAAACTGGGTTTATTTTTTAAATATTTCGTGCGAAATAAAAACCATTCTCTCTCTCGTTCTTTCTCTCAGTGGGCTGACTCCTCGCCGTCAACTTCTTGCCAGTCCAGGGCAAGACGACGGAAGAGCTATACAACATCTTCAACAGATCCCCCGAGTCAGTGAGGCTAAAAATCCTGCCGCTCTACTTCCCCCTGCCCGTGCTCCAGGAGATGGTCAGCGATCAGGTTCGATGTTTTATTTGAAATCCATTAGATTAGATATCGACATCTAATCTATTCTTCCTACATTCATAAATACAAAGAAATTCGCAAATAATACGTGATTACAAATTTGAAGACGATAAAATAGCACTTAAATCAACTAATAACTAGAGGTCGGAGACAACAACGGCCTCAACAACGGTAATCTGCCTGAAAAAAATCATGGACGTCGAATCATGCCTGCCAGAGTTATATCGCAAAATCCGCAGTTCCCACAATGCGGTGAAACAATTTCATAGTCCTTCTGACGAAGACAACTAGCATACAACTGTACCAGTTAAGGTACAACTAGAGCATAAAACAATTAACAAATACATAGCAACACGCAACAAATAAGTATCGTTTTATTGGAGTTCAGATTACAATGTTACAGTTGAGCTTGTGCATGTACATTACTACCAGTGCTTCAAGGGTTCGTTTGTTTGTTTGTTTGTTTGTTTGTTCATTTAGGAAGCTCCCATTAGTGATAATATATACATCACTATTCTTCCTGGAGTCCTTTACATGAAATACAACTATTATTTACATACACGTTTAACTACAGGAAAACTTATCTTATCAACATAGTAAAGTACACATTAAGGTTGGTTTGTATCTATCTTGTAGGTCTCCCCCGTCACGTATCAGGATCACATCGAGTACTTCGTCAGCCAGGGCCGGGTCAATCCTGTGAAGAAGTGGGTGAAGAAGCGGTTGCGAAGAATCTCCTCTGCTCTGTCCCGATGCCGCAACGCGTTCACATGCTGCTGGGGTAGATGAATACAGTATCACAGACGTTTTGAATCTATGATAAGAAGTCTGAATATGATGTAGAAATGATAAATGTATATATTGAAAATTCTACTCTTGATGTGGAATTTTACTTATTTGGACAACGACGTCCAAATTGTGGTAGAACAGCAGTCTACCCCCTGAATGTATCTTTTTATTTTAAGTTATGGAGATGTGAGAAAAGTAAGAAATTCGATCCCTCATCCAGATACCAATGTTAACAACTAGTATATCCTTTATTCAGTAAAAGGCCGTGCAGGCGTGGCTAAAATATGTGGTGCCTTTGAGAGTAAATCTGGAACCACTAGCAAATACATGCCACTCATTCTGTATATCGCGTCTTTCATGGCACTTTTATACGTCAGTGTACATACAGAACATAGACATTTTACTTGTGATTTTAAACGTCCAGTTTATGAAATATGTGGGCGTCCTCAAACTGTTGGAAAGTAACTCCGACCCAGATTTTACAACGCAATACAATGGATGAGGGTGGACTATATGTGTCATGCCTGGTTTGTGTCTGTATTGCTTAATTAAGGGATATCCCTCAGTTTGGATGGATGGAGGGACCCTTGTGACTTACAGTAAATGAAATACGACGATTGTGTTTATACATTTTAATATACATCACTGGACTGTTGATTAAACTAACATATCAAGAGACACCAGGTACATGTAGGACTGGATCCTGAAGATCTATAGTACTCAAAAGTGAACACGAGTATATATAATTCTCTAACACAAAAAACCGCAATGAGACAAGCTAAGATAGTATCCTTAATGATTCTATAAATATAGGTAAATCATTTATAGATAAATTATATATAGGTAAATAAGTTATTTACATAATCATTACATAAACTAGCAACAGCTAAATCAACTATCATAGACAAGCTACATAATATCAATAGCTACAAGTATTTGGTCTTCAACACACACTGTTATACAAAATGATGTTCGTACAAGCTAAGTACACGCCATGAATAGATCAAAAGTATATCTTACTATACATATTAATGTGAAATTTCATGTACATGTTCAACAACTATATACAGTTTCAACTTCTTCTCGCTTCTTAAGACAGCTGTAGATGTATGAACATATGGAGCTTATAATACATAGTTTCTCTAATTCCAAAAGAGACACGAATTTTGTCCTATCTAGCCACACATGTATTTATAACGTGCTCCTCTGGATGTTAAGGTTAGCGCTAACATTACCCTTCCTTCCCCCTGTCTGTTCAGGAGACAGCGTCGTTTCCGGCATGTCTATCTTAATGGCTATGGTCTCCGCCTGGCACATTCTACTGCAGGGGAAGATAAGCGAGTAACAACCCACCACAGCTCCCATAAACAACAGAGAGCCGATCAGGCAAGACAGGATGAAATTCTCGGTGGTGTACCCGTGTGTAAATTGCAGGTAAGACGCTGGTGTTGGGACGGCAGGAACTACTTTCAGCTGTACCGTTGCGGTTCTGTTCCCCCCACCGTTGTAGGCCAAACAGACGTACTTTCCTGCGTCGGCAACGGAGACGTTTTTGATGGACAAGATGCCGACTGCGCGCTGGGTTTGGTTCATGCTAAGCCGGCCCCAGGGCAAGCCGGAGAGGACCACCCTTTTGTTAGGAGCAACCCAGTTGACGGTAGAGGCAGCGCCGCTGGACACGAGGCAGGATAGTTTAGCGGTCTGGCCAACGGAAGCGTTCAACACTGACGGTCTGACGACCACAGTGGGAACATCACATGTCATGAGGTTATCATACGCTTGAGTCTTCAGGTAGAAAAACAGATTCTTGTTTCTCCAGAGAGGGGGGCTGTTACACGTGATCCTTTTTATGTCAACGTTCGGGTTCGCTGCGAACCATTTCAAGTTGCAGTCGCACTTCCACGTAGAACCGGTGACATTTAGAGACACGACCGTTTTTAGACTGCCAAAAACCGTCCGCCTCAAAGGCTGTAGCTGGGGATTCCCGCTTAAATCCAGAGACTTTAGGCTGTCTAATCCTATGAACCCCCTCTCTAGAACATCCAAGATGTTAAGACTCTTCAGATTAAGGTTCTGGAGGTTTTTCAACCCGTTAAAATCGTAGGGCTGAATATATCGGATCGGATTTCCCGACAGACTAAGGTTTACTAAGGAAGGGATCTTTAAGATAGCCTGCGAAGGCACACTAGCGAGAGCGCCGCCATTCAGTTTGAGAGTTTTGAGATTTAACCCGCTGAAAGCGAAAGAGTGAATGCGTCTCAGACTCTTCCAGTAGCTTAGATCAACCGAAGTCAGGTTAGGAAGGTACGGAATGGCTTTCGTGGGGAGAAAAGAGATTCGCAGGGACTGCATGGTCAGGGTTTGGAGTGAGAGGAGGGTGCGGAGTGGTTTGGTGACGTGAGCGATGTTAGTGACGCGGCAGCCGCGCAGGTAGAGCTGTCTCAGTCCCGTCACCCCGGCGAACGCGTTGTCCGTGACGTAACTGACGGGGTTGTCGCGCAGGTCGAGCGTCAGCAGTGACGTCAGACCCGTGAAGATGTAGGAGGACAGGACGGAAATCCGGTTCTTACTCAGGTCCAGACGGGAGACGCGCTGTAGGCCTCGGAACGAGTTGCGGGGAATCTGTGGGGAAAACGTCCGTGAATAGTTTCATCAGGTTGGAAAGTCACTGAATAAAGAAACTCTTTTTACGCAACCAAGGGTTTTATGCAGTAACACCTGTGCTGTGCAGTCAGATTTGCCCTAGAGAAGGTAACAGGCGGTCACCGAAAGTAGGCTGAATAAAAGACTTGGTTGTGGAAAAAGATTTTCTTTATTCTGTGGGGAAACGTTTTGATGAAAAGACGCATACATATCCAAAACATTGACACTTCAACTGTTCCAGGGAAATATTAAAATCCAAGCCCGATACATAAAGATCTTTGACGTAAATTGCTGAACAAAACTGTACCTGGGGGTGCTACAAATGACCTACAACAATGTATAAAGATATCAAAACGGTACCATCTTCAATCACAATATGAAGATCAAAGGACACACCAAGATGTGCCAAAGGATTCAAACAAAAAGTTGGTTTTAAGACACGGCATCATACTTGACAGTGCTGTACAATCGGAAAACTTAGACTTCGGAATATCTTGAGCACTTTAAAAGTCATAGTCTTTTTAGACTGACTGAAAGAGAGAGAGGGGTGAGAGAGAGAGAGAGAGAGAGAGAGAGAGAGAATCGGAAAAGCCATGCCACCCAGTGCTGTACGTATCTGTATCTGTATAGCCGGTATAACCGCCTTTCGGCGTAACACACCAGCTTCGCAGGCACGCGGCGCGGCGACAGCTGGCTATATTACACCGATCGACTTGTTACACCTAACCCTTGAACTTCTAGCTCTAGACTTTGTTTAAAGCTATCTAATGACAATGCCCCTACTGTACTTGGTGACAGCGAGTTCCACTATGCAATAGTTCTAGAAAAGAATCGTACCACCCAGAGCGCGTTCCTGCTGAGCGAGAGCCTCCTCAGGTTGGCCAGCCCGGAGAAGGACCCGTCCGTGAGCGTCTTGATCCTGTTCTGGTCCAGGTGGAGAGTCCTCAGGCTGCCGAAGCTGGAGAACGCACCCCGTGGAACCTTCGTCAGTTTCCCGCCACGGAAGCTCAGCGCGCGGGTGCTCCCGGGAACGCTGAGGTTCGAAGAGGAGAAATTTGCAATCATCTGACGCTTCTTTGACAACTATGAAAACAAAACTTAGCCTATTGTAGACATTTTTCTAGCTATGCGCACTATGAATACAAATGCATGGTTCACTCCACCATCAAGAAAAATTGACCTAAACAGAGCTGGCGCATGGCTCCATGGATGTGATTAGTGCAGATCCTATTGCTTCGGGAAGCGGCTGGAAAGAGTAGAAATTGGCCAAATAGTCAGATAATATGCCAAAGTAAGTTGTTCCGCTCTAAGAGAACAGTTGCCCACTCTTTCCAGCCACGTCCCGAAGCCTGGTAGAAGCTAATGAAAACTTACATTTACTTGCTGTATAAAATGAACGAAACCAACTGTTATTTTCAGTAATGTTAACAATATAGTACAGGCTGTGCACTTTTAAATGAAAAGATGGAATGACGACTAATTGCCATTAAGTGTGGTTTATTGTGACATCATGTTATATGTTCTTGTGCCAGCTCTTTAGCTACCACCTATGAGAAAGACCTCCTTAAGCCAAAAAGGTTTCTATGAAAATTGTATTTTCTAGGTTTGCTGAAGTGATTTATGTGCTTGGGCATCCGAGTGATGATTAATTGATAAAAAAAAACAGCCCCAATACTTCTGATGCAAATGAGTCAGGAGCAAATTCTTCTATATTGTAAATGTGCACATTATGGAGCACTTAGGGTATCCTTCAATACCTACCCGGCTATCGCGTCCAAAGATGGCCATATACAGGTGACTGATGCCGTTTCGCTGTTACAGCTACACCCACTCACACACATCACCCCAGAATCGGCCTTGGCTGTGGGTTGGGCTTGGACAAGGTGATGAAGTCCCGCTGTCCACACGATGTACGTCGTCAGGAGGTAGTGTACTAGGTACGGACTGATCTTTGAAATCGTCTGTTGGCCCATTGTCGGTTGTCTACCAAAAGAAGAAAAAGTATTATTTGTAGCGTTTGGAAAATAACAGAGATGAGACGGAATTCGACCGGTTTCGACTATATTCGTCTTTCTCAAGAATGACAGAGATCGGACCACTCCGAAACAGGGAAAGTAGTCTTCAATTTTCTAGGCGTAAAACTGCATCTGATGTAACTGTCCAAGCAGAGGTTGGTTGGGAATAGTGTTGCCTTTTCAACATTTTCACCGTTTTTTGACTATGTATACTCCCACCTACAGAAGAAAACGGGGCATGTGATATAATCTTCCCCACCAACCTCTGCTTGGAGAGTATCTGCTGTCAAATGTAGTTTGTACTTCGCTTGTCAAAGGATCCATTGATTATGATCTGTTCGGTGGATCTTTTGTTGAAAACCATGGATACGTCAAAGGGTTTTACGTCCTTATGGACATAAAATCCTTTAATAGTGCTGACGCACTCGTCCCAAACATTGAAAACTAGCTGTCTGTTGCTTCTAAAGGATCTGCATCCATTGTGTGTTTGTGTACGTATACGGCATGGATCAACCGTTGGGACAATATGGTTTCTGTATTCTAGAAAGCCAACATTTGAAACCCTCTAGATCTACATGTGTAGATCTACATGTGTAGAACTACATGTACATGTTTTGTAGTATCGGCATTTGCGTGATAATATGTCACACAAAAACATTGAGTGGTAGTCATGTAAAGGACAAAAAATAAGGAGAATCCTACGTTATAGAACCCAAAAGATGCAAGTCAGCAATATACTAGTAGTTCAACATTACCACGACTATTCGTATGGTCATTATGTGCACTTACTGTAATTACAGATGAGGTAGTAAACCACGACTGGTCATCATTTCCACTTGATAAGACTTCTTTGTGGTGACATTTGATAGTTTAATACAGGGCAGTACAAAATATGATACATTTACCTACAGGAAATTGTCTATGCATCCTTTTAGAGAAAAATGTTATTGCCCTTAATGTCTTTATTGAATATAATCTATAACAAATATCTGGCGAATGACAAGAATACTCAAAATGCCCGAACATAAGAAGAGTAAGAATCTAAAAATTTGGCAGATGGACGAAAAGTGGCCAGGCCTAAGGAAAGTGTTAGCCCGCCAGGGACAAGCTCCGTACTCCCCACCAACTTGCAACAAAGCCTCGAAAGCAAAGTATTTTCGATTCAAAACAAGGAAACTATCTTACCTTTCTGAGGGAAAGCGTCGTCAGATCAGATGTGTGTATCCCACAGCAAGTTATAACGTCTGTCACTTTCAGCCTTCGCTTTTTCTGTTCACTCCAACCTTGTAACGCTTGACTGCTCGACAGGGACAGTACATGTTACGAAAACAGGGTAGAAGTCAGTGAACAGTTACATGACTAAACGACATTTAAGTATTTCACACACACGTTTTAGGTAAAATTTGACTGAAAATTAGTTTGTAACGCACTGACATGACCAATATGAAAAGATATGTCATGTTCTTACCGGCCAACCATACATTTTATGCCATACCACCTGTTGAATGAAATGCACCCTCCCTTAGGCGTGTCTCGTATCCCAACACCTTTTCTTCATCGTCATTCATGCCATGATAAACACCCTATGAATTATTAATAGCGATGTTTGGGGGGCTTATTAATTTTTCATACTACGATTGTACTACACCACACACTAACACACTCGTACAATACATGTGGTATCAAACAGCACAAATGACACACCGTTTTGTGTATAGTATAACGACACGTCACCAATTTCATCACAATGGACATTACATGCAAAAGTTCCTCGTCAAAAGCTATAGAGGAAAACGATACTGACTTCGCGTGCTGTACGTCCATCTGACACAAAGAGGAAAGTACTTGATGCAACAACATAGCGAGAAGCAACTGTCAGCTGTTACTAACATTAAATCGGCATATCTGTATCTGTATAGCCGGTATAACTGCCCTTCGGCGTAACACACTAGCTTCTGTATCTGTATAGCCGGTATAACTGCCCTTTGGCGTAACACACTAGCTTCTGTATGTGTATACCGGTATAACTGCCCTTTGGCGTAACACACTAGCTTCTGTATCAGTGTATAGCCGGTATAACTGCCCTTTGGCGTAACACACTAGCTTCTGTATCTGTATAGCCGCTATAACCGCCCTTTGGCGTAACACACTAGCTTCTGTATCTGTATAGCCTGTATAACTGCCCTTTGGCGTAACACACCAGCTTCTGTATCTGTATAGCCGGTATAACTGCCCTTTGGCGTAACACACTAGCTTCTGTATCTGTATAGCCGGTATAACCGCCCTTCGGCATAACACACCAGCTTCTGTATCTGTATAGCCGGTATAACTGCCCTTTGGCGTAACACACCAGCTTCTGTATCTGTATACGTAGCCGGTATAACTGCCCTTTGGCGTAACACACTACCTTCTGTATCTGTATAGTCGGTATAACTGCCCTTTGGCGTAACACACCAGCTTCTGTATCTGTATAGCCGCTATAACTGCCCTTTGGCGTAACACACTAGCTTCTGTATCTGTATAGCCGGTATAACTGCCATTTGGCGTAACACACTAGCTTCTGTATCTGTATAGCCCGTATAACTGCCCTTTGGCGTAACACACTAGCTTCTGTATCTGTATAGCCGGTATAACTGCCATTTGGCGTAACACACTAGCTTCTGTATCTGTATAGCCCGTATAACTGCCCTTTGGCGTAACACACTAGCTTCGTGGTGGTAGCTGGCTATATTAGACCAAACAACTTACTAGTACACTTGGCCCTTGAACATCTAACTATAAGCATTGTTTAAAGACATCTACGGGTTTCACGAAACATTTGCCAGTTTGTATGTTTGAAATGCAATATACCCCTATTCAGGATTACCAAGTCCCTTGAAAATGTTTAAGACATTCGGGTGTGGACAAGAGGTTCGGCCTAGCCTCTACCAGGCTTGGGGAGGCGGCTGGAAAGAGTAGAAATCGGCCAAATAGAGAGATAAGCATGCCAAGGGAGTTTGTCCGTTGGGAGAACAGTTCGCCGCGGCAAACTGTTCTCCCTTGGCAGGCTTATTTCTCTATTTGGCCGATTTCTACTCTTTCCAGCTGCCTCCCCAAGCCTGGTAGAGGCTAGGTTCGGCCATGGTTGGCTGGTGTTCAGAAATAGGTTGGGTAGTGGTTGGCAGTTAGATTTGACTCAAATTAGACTCAAATTCGATTCGATTCACACAGAAAGCTAGGCGTGGTCTAAATCTGGTCAGACTAATCCTGAACTTTATTTTAGCCCACCAAGGTTGGCTGGTGTTTGGAAGGTGAAGGTTCTGAATGTGTGACCAGGACTTAAAAAGCTTTGCTCAGTATCGGTCCACTCACGAGTTGCCACCCAAAACAGCAAAACGTATGATAAATGGAGGAGAATTAAGTACCCCAGACTCACTGGTTGGAGAGCAACTCAAGAGTGCATAAAAGCTTCACAATGATGGTAGTTAGACCACGATGTTTATGGACAAATGGAACAATGCTTACTTTCAACACATTCAATATCCAAATTGGAATTGATGACACAACACAAAGTACCATTCAGAGTCTGTTTCAATAAAAATGTAGATATTTATAATTATAAAAGGATTAGATCTACTTTCACTTATATGTACAAGCAAGCTAACCTCTCACATTATATAAAAAATATACAGACAGCTTTCAGAATTTCTTTGCAAACAACAAAATATGTGGCTTTAAGTACAAAATAACCTCAAGACTTAATGTGAAAGCCCTGAATCTTTACATGGTCATCAAAATGCACCTCATGTAGTTGTTAGCAATATGCTCCTGACATACAACTGCTAACATTCACATAAAATGGTAAGATACAGTCACTGGCCTATTAAAGCAGTATTCATGATACAACATCATTTATAAGGATTTTGTAGCAATCTGATGATACTGAATTATTCAAAACAAAACCCCATCTTCACTACACTTGGAAAGACAAAAACAGAATTTTAAACAGCATTTGGTCACTCTTAGGCTTGACATTTGAAATTCCTCACATAATAAAAGCATGATAGTTGCTAGGTTCCTGAGAGGAATAGTTAGAAATGCTCAACTCTATAATGCTAATGATGGATTTTTTTATAAACTTAGACTATACAATCATGTAACACATTTATTCACAGACATATATATTTCATGATCTCAAAGCACAAACTTTTATATGTACAATGTAAATTATGTTACTTCTCCATGAAGAGCAACTTTCTTAGTACAAATACTTGATCATCTGGATCTATCTGATCAGTCATTTAAAGACAATGTTTACATGTATTGACTATGTGTAGATAAATATCTGTTCTATGGAATACAGAGAAATCTCATGATCAGTAAAGCAGTTGTGCTGCATTATCTCATTTTATCTGACACATCTGAACATTTATGATTCTAAACAAATATATGTACATGTAAGACTATTTGATTGTACAGAATTAAGCACCACATCTGATACAAAAGTATAAAAACTATATTATAGAATCATGTACAAAGCATGATAGAATAAAGTCAAATATTGACAGTAATTAATGACCAATCACTTTCGACATAAACCCACAAGAGTTACAGACACACGGTCACAGATAACTGTTTTGCCCTGTCTACCGTTTGTCCCTGTCCTGTTTCTTCATGCTTTGTTTCATGAGTAGCTTCATCTCTTTGCTCAATCATCAGGATAATTAATGACCAATCACTTCTGAATCCACGAGAGTTACAGACATGAGGTCTCTTGGAGATTACTGTTTTGCCCTTTTCACTCGGTGCTAGTGAGTGAGTGACTTGTTGCTAGAGTTTGTCCCAGTTCTGTTTCTGCAGGGAAAATTGTAATGTCAAAATGTAACCCTGGGTAAACAAATAAAAAGAAATGAAACAGATGAACTTTTATGACAGGTCTTGAAATGTTTTTCCCTCACAGTCCACTTGTTGCTACCGTTTGTCCCTGTCCTGTTTCTGCATGCTCTGTGTCATGAGTAGTTTGATCTCTTCACTCAGCACCTTGGTCATGTGGATGGCCTTCTCTGCCTCCTCTCCACCGATCTTCTCCAGGGAGACGGACGCTGCCTCGCGGACCGTAGAGATGGTGTCGTTCCTCCTGTAGGGATGAGATACAACAGTCTCATTCTACTGCAGACATTAGCATCAAAGCTCATCGACGTTTTTCTGCAACCTATGATCCACTGCTCACGGAGTCACATGTGTTATCTGCGTGACGTCACGGAATTGTTCATTCAGTGGATTGTTCATTCCTTGACAAAGAGTTGTACAGACTGGAGTTGCACAGTCGAAAATTTGAGTCCAATTTGTTGTGTTGGAAATTACAGTTTAAACTTGCTTCATTAAGTTCATCTGTCTTCAAGTTGGTAAGTTCAATTTACCAACACAGATTTGCATAATGAAGATTGATACTCCCCTAAAGAGGCTATCTACATAGGAGCCCACCAGCCAACACTGAACCGAGACGGGGGACATTGTGGCATGTCACCTTGATCTGTTTGCACCTACACTTAATACTACATAACTGTTAGCTTGTATGCTCTGCTGTCACTTTACACCAAAGAGGTAGAGGGAACATAGCGAGATGGGAAGAGAGAAAAACAAACCAAAAGAGACAGAGAGAGAAGCAAGTGATAAAATCAATCTGTTTCTTGATGAATGACAGAATGACATGGGGAGAGAGAGAGAGAGAGAGAGAGAGATTTAAGTCAAAAGAGTAAGGAACAACAAGAGAGAGAGGCAAATGATGAAGATATGTCCAATTCTTGAAGAACAACTCACCAAAGATGCACCAACTGTGGCACAGCTTGCCTGACCCTCAGGTGACCCAGGGCAATGCAGCCACTCTCCCTCACAAGTCTGTCCTTGTCTTGTAATGTCTTAAGTAACCTGAAAGACAAATGGACTGTATGAATTACACAAACCATGTGAGCACATCACACAACATCAAGAAGCATTTATGATCATTCAATTACATGCCATATACTTTGGACAACATAAGACTGACAGGCACACATATACATGTAAAAACTGGCAACTTTCTGACTGACTTACTTACTCAGTCACTCAGTCAATCACTCAGTCACTCAGTCACTTACTCACTCACTCACTCACTCACTCACACACACACACACGCTCACACACTCACTCACTCACTCACTCAGTCTCACTCACTCACTCAGTCTCACTCACTCAGTCTCACTCACTCACTCACTCACTCACTCACTCACTCACTCACTCACTCACTCACTCACTCACTCACTCTCACACATTCTGAGTTAAAAATAAACATACCTGTTGATAACCTGTTGGTCCTCAGCGTTGCCTGACTTGGCCAGTGTAACTGCAGCCACGGCCCTCACGTTAGGGTCTTCGTCCTGTAGCAGGTCCAACAGGGCATCCACTACGGCTTTACTGCGATACTTAGCTGAAATGTGAATATAATCTTAGTTTGGACGCATCTCAGATGCTTCTTTCTAAGAAAAATATGAGTTCAAGCCAGCAAGACTAGAGAATGCCAGAGGATATAGGGGTACCAGGAAAATACCAATGGAAACCCAAGATATCCAAAGTGATCCAACAAATACAGTTAATGTAACACTAAAATACATCAGTACACTAGTACTAAGTATTAGGCTTGATCCAAAATGTTGGTCCAGTTCTGATGTGGTCCAGTGAGTTTGGTCAGTCCAGCTTGAAAATTTTATGTCTCTCATCGGCAGCCAACCCTAAAAAAAAAGAGTCGGGGGGTTCTTACTAGGGTTGGTCGGGTAACCAGAAACACAACATTTTTTTCCTACAAGTAGGCCTTACCTAAATCTTCAATAGCTGAGAGTCTGACAGAAGACTCCATCTGGAACACCTCCCTCATGGTGTAGGACTCCACGGCCTGCTCGTGGACACGCTGCCAGAACGGGAGCTTCACTCCACCCATGAACCGGAACTCTGGAACAAACACATGGTGTTACAATGTGGCAATGTCAAGTTTAAAATGTGCATAGTTCAGTCAGTTAACAACCCTGCCTTGGAAGTTCAAATCCCGGCTGTTGTCGTGCACCCAACATGCACACTACTGGAAAGGGTTGCTGTCCTTAGGACGGGATGTTAAACCATGGTTTATTATGCTTGTCAAAAAGAGCTAGGTGAATTTCCCTGGTTTAATAAACCTGTATGAGTTATTCAAAGCAAAAGTAGTGTCACATACCTTAAGTACAACCTCAGCTAACATCGTTATGCCACAAATTTTGACATTTGTAGTTTCAGTCCTGTCCTAATTTTCAAGAATCTTACAGTCCAAAGTAACTCCCTCTAAAAAGCAACTGTTACAGAAGTGTCTAATATCTCACCATCATAGTTTTCCCTTGTTAAAACGTTGTTCTCTACGTTCATTTCTCTCTTCAGCACCGTCATGAGCCAGTCCTTGTTCTCCGCATCACTGCTGATCTGCATACCATCCAGCAGGGAGCCGTACTGTTTGTCAAAAGCTTCTTTGAACCTGGAAAATAGAAATCACATTAGCTGGTGTACTATACCGAAGGGCAGTTATACCAGCTATACAGATACAGATACAGATACATTTATGTCTGGTATAAATGTATCACAATGTTACCGTCCAGGGCCCCGCTGTAAAGCAGTGCATAGCCACTGAGAGGGTCACCCTGGTTAAAGAAAACAGGATAAAATTTTTTTTTTTTTAATGTTGAAAATTGTATAAAAGCGTGATGGCTGGGTATGAGAGTATATTTTATCTGAAATATCTATGATAATAATTGCATCTGGAATATGTGTAATATTTATATCGGGAGTTCAATCTGAAAATTTCAAACAATTTCACAACCTTACATTGGCAATTTTGGTCAGTTGAAAACAAGTATATATACATAAGGTAAAAAAGAACCTTGCTACCTTGGATATTTGAACCTGCCAAAAGGGGCTGTAAGAGACTGTATGTAAGAGAAGTGCTCACTTTGACCATGGGACGTCCTTTGCATCTTTGAAGGCTCTCTCCCAGAAGTCTGACTCGTCGTCCAGTGGGTTGGAATTCAGCCGTGTCATTTTGTTCAGGTTTTGCCTGGTAGGTTGCCGCTCAAGCTTGGGTTTGCCAACTTCAGCAACTGTTAAAACATGAAAAATATGTACAATGTATCTTCATTACTTCACTGCATTACTACAAAAACCACAGCACTCAGAAATGACCAAAACAAACAGACACCACACATATTGCATATTACACAAATTCTCATTCTTGTAATATATGTATGTTTTTAGTATACCATGTATGTGTAAAATATGTGTATAGATTTAAAAGGACTTTAAATTTTGGACTTTAAACTTTTTTAATCTTTTTTATATATTTTTTCTGACCATTACCTCTTCCTTTATGATCTCAATAAAAAAGTGGCCTGTAGGCCAATTTGAGCTTCTCATATATGAAATATAAGAATGGTTCAAACAAACAAACAAACAAACAAACAAACAGAAAAACAAACCTTTACTCTCATCTCCATCGTTGGTTGCAGCCTTGATTTTCTGTGTCAGGGCAGCAAAACTGACGTCAAACTTGTCTCTGTCAGAGAAGTCTACCCACTCCATGGGGGCCAGGGTTAGCTGCCTGGAGAATTATGCAAATCATTAGTAAAAACATGAGGAGTGGGTTTTCCTGATAGTCAAAGCATGAATAACATATTTTATTAGAAACTTGGACCTCAAAACAACCCTATTATGTCTACTCAATCATTCATATTGTAGTGTGAAACGAGAGGGTATACAAAAGCTATATATATATATAGTTATAGTTAGTTATAGTTATAAAACAAATAACTCACAATATGTAAAAGCTAGTCAAGATATCTACCTACATGTACAGTATACTGCCCTTAGTCCAAAACTGTTTAAAATGGCTCAACCACTATTCAAGCTGAGGAAACAGTTTGCTAAGAAGTATATACTACAGTACTCTTGACTAACAGCACCAACTAATTACTAACTGGTTAGCACCCTTCTCCTAGAGTCATGGCCACGGGTAATTCTATCTCAGCCTCTTGTTAGCAGTGTCATGCCTTCTTTGTTGGCAAGCTCTACTCCCAGGGAGACAGAAATTACATGGCCTTTATTTAGTTTCACACCATAACTCAATTATACCCATTGGCAGACATAATTCACTTGGCTTGGTGGCATGTTTTGACTGGGGAAATGACGTATGACGGTTTACTGTTACAGTATAATATAGTGTACATTATATATGATGTACACAGATATTACATCTAATAGTATATTTTGTTGTGTTGATTGGTTTCTTGATGTGATAACATAGGCAGAACTCACATCCCAAAGTCCATGCCCTTCCGCAGTCCGTCTCTTGTTGCCATGGCAACAGGAAAGATGGGTTTGTTGGAGATGTATGCCAGGGCAAGCTCGTCCTTACAGTACTTAGAGGTGACGGAGTTGGGACTGAGCAAGGAGAGGAAAACCTGGAGAAAATGCAGGGTGGTTAGAGAAGGCAGTACTGGTACCTTTCTGTTCAATATACACTCATGTATAGACATTTATTATACCCCAAAAGGTACGTACCATAATCCAAGTTGTACAATTTCCAAAGTCTAGATAATTTTAAGCTTTCAATCTTACAGCAACAAGCCATAAGTACCATTCAACACCTAACCCTGCAACTAGTAGTCTACTTTAACCCTAGCTAGTGTAGTGAACTTCAAAGTACACAAATCCTGAACTACAAAAAGTACACTTATCCTGAACTACAGAGTACACAGAGCCTGAACTACAAAGTACACAGAGTCAAATGTAAATACATCTTTCAAAGGTAACGACGGTTTCCCTGTCAAACAATGAACTCCGTGTGAGCTAAATAATTATCCACCTTTGCTTCCACAATGGCATGACCGATCTTGTTGAGGAAGTCCACCCCTGCTCCTAGTCCCTGTTCATCCACCCACACGCTGATGCCAGCTGACTCCAAAGACCCTGTGTGTGTTGGAAAAGTGATTTAATCAACTTTATTTTTCAGCAAAATCTTATCAATCTATGTTTGTTCGGTACATCATGGTTGATTATAGTCTCTCATTTTAGCTATAGCAGCGACACCAGTGCTGCAGTGCAATATGAACCAGTCAGAATTGCCCGGAGGAAGGTGACAGACGGTTACCGAAACGTCAGCTGAATAAAAGACTTGGTTGTGTAAAAAGAGTCTCTTTACTCACCTCTCATTTTCCTCATGAAGTCCATGTCCTGATGGCTGTAGCTGATCATCACATCCTGCCCAAACTCCGACGAACTTTCCAGCCTTTTCAAGTCCTTCTGACCTCCTGGGGTTAAAGCACAGAATGATAAAAAACATTTAGTTTTAGTTAAAGTTGTAGTCAGTTAAGCTTGCTCCCTTCCTTGATAGCCCTGCCCTTTTCTTTATACTCGTAGGTCCCTATTCCACAGAAGAGTATGAAACTGTATTATAAAGACATTTGCCTTGAATATTGGGATTTTCTTCTTAAACAACCGTAATGTTTCTCACATGCTTACATTTTGATGTCCATCTGATTCAGGAGTTCTGCTTCTCATTACTGCTGTATGTAGTGTAAATAGGCAATATTATATCAAATTTGTGTGATTATCGATTTATCGTGTAAATTATGTAATTTCTAAACCATTAGTATTGTTTAACGTCAAATTTTATGAACTGTAAAAACAACTCAATTCAGACTCTCGTCTGCTAGTTGTTTGAATAAAGATTGATTGATTGGTTGATTGATTATTGATTGGTTATTATTGATTGATCATTGATTGATTGATTATTATTGCTTGATTATTATTGATTAGTTGATTGATTAATATTGATTGATTGATTATTGATTGATTGATTGGTTGATTGATTATAATGGATAACATTACCAGTTATAGAAGAAAAACAATGCCCAAATCATATGTTGAGGAAATTTACTTTTCAAGGCCATTTACCTTGTTTCTTTGTGGAGCCCTTCTCTCGCTGCTCATTACGGTTGTTCTGTACAGCCTGGGGTCTGATCTGAAGCCTCTCATTCTGGCTATTCTGTACAGCTTGGGGTCTGATCTGAAGCCTTTCATTCTGGCTATTCTGCACAGCTTGTGGTCTGATCTGAAGCCTCTCATTCTGGCTATTCTGTACAGCTTGGGGTCTGATCTGAAGCCTCTCATTCTGGCTATTCTGTACAGCTTGCGATCTGATAGGAATCTTCTCATTCTGTACCGCCTGAATTGGCATCAGATCTAGATGCGTACTAGTATGCGTGTCATCATCTTCTAGTTGCTCATTCGCAGTGTTTTGCACAGCCTGAATTGGCATCTGTTCTAGATACGTACTAGTATGTGTGTCATCTTCTAGTTGCTCATTCGCAGTGTTCTGCACCGCTTGAGGTTGTAGTGGCTCCAGACTTCCATTCTTGAACCTCTCATTCTCCAAGTTGTGCACCACCTGAATTGGCAGTAGGGTTGGTGGCTGGGACTTCTGACTACTCGGTCCTGATCCCATATTGTGGTGGTTATGTGATGGTCTCAGTCATCTCTACAAGCGAGGCATTTTCTCCTGCAAATAAAAGGAACAAGTTAAGAATTTGTACAGTTATCTGAATGTTGTAATTTGTCTTTGACTTGAGTTCAGCTGTTTAGTTGGTATGAATAAGAAGTCACCTAAAGGTCCTCTTGTTGAATATTTTCATCCTGGTCTCTAGAGTTAGACGACATTAGATACAGAGAAACTTTGAAGGTATTAAAGGAGTACATTTCGGCATGCCCTAACATCTGCAAATTTTTATCTAACTATTTTTATCTTAATTATTGATGGCCAATTAACCTGAATCACACTGAGCCCCTATGGAACCAGTTACCTACAGACTCTGAGCTTTAAAGCATTACAAGGAAGAAAAACACGAGATTTTACATGCAAATCCTTTAGGAAGACTAACATAATGCTTCAATAATCCAGGATTTAATAGGTGTTTGCATGCTTTTCTCTATGTTTGTGCTCCAGTCGTCAGCTTAGCGTTGTATTTGACAGGACGTTGGCGTAAATCATAGAGGTGGGCGTTGTTACCCATGAACTTATGTCTGCACGTCTCAATTTCTCACAGAAGGCAGTATGTAACTTAAAACAACTTAGTATGGTGTTGCTATCTTCAAGGACATTATACAAATATAATGGTATCTTCAAGTTGATATAGATTCTCAGACTGACTTTCAAGTCATGACAACTTGGAACTATTAAAAACGAAGAAAAAGTTGTAATAGTCCGGAGCACCAATATGCACTGTCACGGTGACATCGTGTAAACGGACACCCTTAACTACGATCTTAACAAAGGGGATAAACAGAACCTTGATGTCATGGCCTTAACACATGGGGTTACACCCTCTTCTTCTACTTCTACTAAAATTCTAAGGCTTCTACTCACTTAAATCTCAAACTCAAGCCCAATATCTTAACCTAAAAGAATCTAGGGTTGTTCAGGCTTTCCTAAGTTTAAGCACAAGACGTAAAAGACTTACGTACCGTTACTTTTGTTCCCATGCCTTTGTCCAGCGATGGAATGGCCGAAGACAGAATGCTAGGACACTGCGCTTTGTAAATATGGCGACGATTCTGACCCAACCAAACATTTAGAGGGGTGTTCAGGCTTGTTTACTCTTCTAAAGATTAACAATATTGATGTTGTTGTCAATACCAAGTAAATATATCTTAGTAAAAATCATTCTAGTTACTTTTAAGCCAGTTTTATGTATGATATTGTATTTTTTATCCAACATAGCAATATTTAGAAAAACAAGTATATTTGAATGTCCCTAGTACACTAGTGGGAGAGTCTAATTCGTTCTTCATGTCATAGCTCACGTAGCTTGATAGGTTAGTTTCGCGTAGGAGGTCTGAGCATATTTGAATAAGTAATGTCGAAAACACTGTATTCCTGGGGTTCATAATATCACGTAGATCACTCCAGATATGCTTTCAGTCGCGTCGCGGGCTGCCCAGGGCGGTTTTCGCGCCCGTTCTTTCTTACAACAGGGGAACGGCCAGGCATGGGCTGCGGGGGCTCCTTCTATGTGCAGCCGCCTAAGCCCGTACAGATCAACGGTACGTTTATAGTATTATACACACACCTGTTAGATTCGAAGCCCGACTCTAAGACAAGGTTTAGAGTTCAGCGTATTTTTGATGTGGTTTTAGTGTTTTTGTCAGGCTTTCTTTTGTTCGCTCCTTCTATATACAGTGGCCTAAGCCCGTACAGATCAACGGTACGTTTATAGTATCATACACACACCTGTTAGATTCAAAGCCCGACTACTGCAAAAGGTTTAGACTTTAGCGTATTTTTGGCGTATTTAGGTGTTTTTTCGGCCTTTCTTTTACCTGTATGCACTGGTTTCTGTTTTTTTTTTTACGTCAACCTGAGTGCAAGAAAAAAAGCCCGATAAAAATGCCTAAAATAAGCCAAAACCCAAACCTCTGCTTGGAGAATTAACGTTAGATCCAAAGCCCGACTTCAAGCAGAGGTTTAGGGTTGAATGGCTTTTTTGGCGTTCTCTTTTGTTTGTACTGGTACTGGTATAATTTTTTACGCCAGTCAAACTGGTGGCAAATGGTATCTTTATATTGACTAGCCTAGCAGACACCAAACGATATGCCTGGAAATTAAGGTTAGCCTGGTATCCAGTCTATCGTGGATTAGACAGACTCTATTCGGGGCTGTAAGAGCTTTCTGCCGCCCGGCTCATAAAAAGTACTCTCTGGAAGTCTGTGATGCAGATGGACTTAATTAGCCCTCCACAATAATTAACTCCAGTGGCGTAGAACTCACATCAGCCGAAGGGCACCTGTCCAATCCATGATATACTGGTTATCATAAGCTGTTGGGTTCACTAATATAACGTTACATATATCTCACCATTGAATCTTCGTTGATGGCTGCTTCTGTTGTTCCTTTGTTGACGGCTGCTACTGTTGTACCTAACGTTAACCTTAACAGTCCTTACCTGTTTAATTATTGATGAGTGAGCCCTTGACAATGACAAGCAGCTTTTCAAGGGAGCTCAGGACATGTTTTATGTATTGTTATTCAGACAGGAGTATAATACCCAATGCACACAAAATCCTTGGAGCTTGTTTGTGAACAGATTTGTAAATATGGAGTTGGAAGCTTTTCCATTGTTAATTGCAACCCCGAGCTACCACATATGGTCTGCCAACAACAGGATGTGGTTGTTTTTAACGCCTTACTTCAGGTCAATGCATTCAAAACATCTAGATGCCTGGATTTAATTATCTTACTCAGGGACACTAAGAGATTAAAGCTCAGAGATAGATATAGGCAGGCCAAGGCTAACATTACATGGTAAATTGTCAAGGGCCTCCCCTATGGCTGGATGAGGTTGAGTTGGGAAGACTGAAAAGTGCAAGTCACATCCCACATTAATGAGCGAAACAGATACAAAACAAAAAGATACAGTTGCTACGAATTACTAGCTGAAAAAATTTAAAACTATTTGTGCACATGTGCCATGCCAGGAACTAATTTGTTTTCAAGTCTAATTTAGACATTTTGACAGAACTTGTTTTTAACAGTAACTTGAGGGCCAATTATAACCAAGCAGATCTTGCAGGTCCTTGTTAGGAGCACGTCAGCAGAACTAACTGCACCTGCACAAAACCCTGCATGATTTTTTATGGTTTTCATTGGATTTTTTATCAATATTGCTGGCGACATCTTTTTCCAACATAGCATTTGAAAACAACAGACAGGATGTTAACCTTATATGTGCAAATACAACCTTATATGAGACATTCTGCCGAACTGCTATGCACAATACATTACGATTTTCGTGCAGGTGCAGTACGTTCTGCCGACGTGCTCTTGTTAGGAGTATTAGTGCCACGTGTAATACACCTTAAGATAACCCAATTACTGCAGAAAACTGTCACTCGATCCTTCCCCAAGTATCTCTGTAATCAGAAACATGCTGTGACTACAAGGACCTTATTATATGCCAGGTGTGCATCAATATTCCATTTCTTATTACTACATTGTACTTCTGAATTTTGCCAGCAGATACACAAGTGTTGGATTTCCTTCAAAAAAGAATTCACAAAGGGTTGCACACAGCCAATTTAGTGTCAGTTATTAGTACATGTATGACATACATGTTTCAGTTATAAAGAATATAATGCCTGATAGTACAAGGTACATTCACTTTGAGATATGTATGATCTGTATTCGGTCCACACCTACATTATACAATTTCTCACAAAATGTTTGAGTGTGTAAAGTAACAATGAATTGAGAGACTTTGGATGAGATCAGAATCATTTTCACCATCTTTGGTATCAATCCAGAAACCAGTGGAGACAAAAAATTTATGAGCTGAGAAATGTGTGGGTACTGTCCTTGGTGCTGAACCTTCTGTATTCTGTTGAGTTCCTTTCCTTTTTTCCTTCCTTATTTAATTGCTAAAGAAGCCATTAGACCATGTCAGAGCATAGTTAGTTAAATTTCCTTGCACCAGATGGTGCGTAGGGGGCGCCCATCTCTAGTTAATTAGCCCTTGGGCCACACAGTTGTACAGTAGGGGGCTAGTCCACTGGTAGTGGTGTGCGTTTAACTACCATACTCTTTCCCAAATCCCAAGTCTTTGTTATGACTTAGCTAGGGATCTATGATATTTAGGTCATACTGTATTTTTTAATCTTGTTTGATACAGATGCCTATTTTTGTTAACTCAGCAACTTGGCATTGCTGGTCTTGGGCAAATCCTTTTAAATCTTACATGTATTTTTTCTTCTGACTTTCCAGTTATAGAGCCGACCAGTGTATTTGCGGACACTGCACCTCAAAGTGACAGTCAAGACACCCAGTTTTCCTTAAACGTCAAATACAGTCAACAGAGACACACGGCCTCAAGTTCAACTTCCAAGGAAAGGCTACTGGATTCGAGCCCGTCAACGTCTTTTTTACCAAACAAACCGGAAGACAACATGGCGTCATCACAGGACACAGACATCATGATAAGTGGAGATGGAAATGACCGGGACTTCATCAAATTTTTGTCCAGTAAGTCATTATTCCACCTAGTATATTATGCTAGATTTCACTGTTCCTTGATAATGGAATAACATCATTTTTCATGTTTTACCAAATTGCATTTTTTTAACAATCTTATACTATTTCCTTACTATTTTTGTTCAAAGCAAAAATACTAACTGATGAACACAATTTGATTTCATAATTTAGGACACCAAAGATTTTGAACATCAATTAATAACTAGTATGCATATTTGCATGTATTGACAGTGGTGTATTCTGTATGTACATCACAGTACATGTATATGTGTATTGACAGTGGTGTGTGTATTCTGTGTATATATGTGTATTGATGGTATATTCTGTTTGTATGTATATTGACTGTTGTGTGTTTTGTGTATAGGCCAGTTGAGTAGAGAAGGGCTGAGGGTGTGGAATGAGGAAACAAAAGACTCCAACCCTTCCCAGCGAGCACAAGCCATAGTAGAGGCAAAGGCATGACAATTGTCTTATAATGTTCTAGTCTTCTCTTTTTAGACTCACAGACTCAAAAGAAAGGCATGACAAATGTCTAATACTTATTTACTCTTTCATCTCTTTTCTTTTCTTATACACAGTGTCCTCTGAAATATCTTAGCAATATCTTGTGTCTCAATAACAAATTTGCTTCTAATCTTTCCCACAAAAATTATGATTCTAACAACTTTTTTGTACCATACCTACTTAATGTAAATCATTGAAAATCTTACTTATATTGTAACGGCAAAATATTCAAGTTCTGTTAATGCCAACCTTGAATACCAGAACACATGACTTACGATTCTGGAAACCATACCTCAAGCTTTGTGCAAATTGCAGTTTCGCTTTGAATAGATCACGACATGCTGTCAATTGTTTTATGTCATAGGTGCAGAACACCATATAAGGTACTAAAAGATCCACTACATGTAATTTGAGAAGGCTACAGTGCTTAAAAACATGCCTTGAATCCCTTATTTGGTTAGCTGGCTACATTAGAGCTTTACAGCTGCATACCTTTGCTAGCTATCATTTTCTTATCACTATGCAACAGAACTTGATTTACATAATCTTTGATGTCCATCCATAGCTTCTTGAGTCAGCTGTCCACCCACAAACAAAGCCACACTGCATAAAGCTAACCTTCTTAGCAAAGCTGATTCAGTATGGTCGTAGATTGAGTTGGGCTGAGATGAAAGATTAGGAGAATTTGTTTACGTGATACTCAATTTGTTACCAAGTGATACATGTAATATTCAATTACTAAATCAGGTCTTGCAGATGATGAAGTTTTGTTTTGAAAGGTTTCATTGCTTAGAATTGTATAAACACAAAAAATAGTAACTGTTGCATGGAAATTGTTTTTGTTTGAGGGAAATTACATCTATGTTAGGACAATAATGCCCCTGTCCAAAACAAGCTAAGTAATACCAAAAACATTTTTATAACATTAACGTTCATTCTGCTATATGGTTAGGAACAGTACGGTATGTAATCTTCTTTCAGACAGTAATTTTAGTTGATACCCACAACTGATTGAAGCTCCTCACACTTATTCTGCTTACAGTGCTGATTTGGTATACATTGAAAATACCCACAATAGAGACCATTATAAGTAGAGTCAGAAAAGGTCACTGCATTACAATAAGACCAGATTCCCTATGATTGAGTTTTGAAAGCTCCTGTCATCTGTGGTAAAGTCTCTCCAAGTAAAAGGTAAAAGATAAAAATAACAGATGAAGCAGACTGTTTATTGTTGATTTCTGAAAGCTCCTGTCATCAGTTTAGTAAAATCTCTCCAAGGAAAGATAAAAATAACCAATGAAATGTAAAGAAGGACACTTCAATTTGTCAGGTGCTGTCAGTTCCCAAATTGAACAAGAAACGTACACAGGGATTCCAATTAATTTCAGTGGTTACAGCAGCGGTCGCATCTGGCACCTTGCTGGCTTCAATTTAATTCAGGGCCACGGAAGAAATATGCTGTAAATTAGGAGTACAGATGCCTGCAAGGCTTTTGTCTGTTTGTGATCAAAGCTGCACTTATTTTAGTTTTCTGATGGAGCAACAAAAAAGACAGGAAGAAGACTGGAGGAAAACCTTGAATCTCGTTATTTTCACTTCCTGAAAATTTTGAACCATTCCTTCAGATCTGTTCCTACATTGATTTCTCAAATCAGCGTAGTCTTTGAAGACTTTAGACCAAAAATTTAAGATGGCGTAGCCCTACTGTGAAATAGCTGGAAGCAAGCAGCATATAAATGTCAAATTTCCTGAGGCGCCCTCCATGTATGTTTGAAGCTTGCAATATACTTTTGCTGGTAGCCTTCGGCAGAGATGCTTTGATATGAGATCTGATTAAATTTAGTGTTAATAAGGATAAGGATATATCAAAAGGTGACGTAAAGAAAGTCAGAATGAGGTGCTGGGAGAAATAAAAGGAGGAGGCACGCTACTAATGTCAAGGAAGTCAGATTGCGGAAGAGGCAAACATGAAAGAAATCTTGCTACGGAAACAGCAAGGTTAAATTTCTGTCCTATGTGCCACCATTTATGAAAGAAATCATCCAAAGAAACACGCCATATGCAGCACGTCGGCAGAACGTACTGCGCCTGCGCAGAACCCTGTATTTTCATGATTTTCGGTGGATTTTTGGTCAATGTTGCATCAGAATTTTGCATGTTGCAAAGGATATCTTTTCCTACATAACATTTGGAAACTACAGATGGGATGTTAACCTTATATGTGCTAGTACGACCTTATATGAGACGTTCTGTCGAAGTGCTATGTACAATACATTACGGGTTTTGCGCAGGTGCAGTGCATTCTGCCGACGTGCCGCCATATGCATGTACAAAATTTTGCAATGAAGGTCGGACTCATCCAGCTTGATTCGTCTAGCTTGGTATGAAGTCTCCGACTCATGAAAACATTATTCATATGTATGACCTAGTTACTTTTCCTTTTCTTTATTCACTCAGTGGATACAGAAAAGCATTAGAGATTCAAAGGTTTCACAGTTCTTCTTTGCTGTACATAGACAGCTAGTAATGCTGACTCCATCCTTTTTATAGTCCTGTCCTGATCTTGGTGCTGAACTGGGTGTTGTTATATTCCCCTCCGTAGTAGTAGTAGTATAATGTTGTGTTTTCTCTACAGGTTCTCACATTTTGCCATTTTGTACTTCAGGTCTTCGTCATAGTGTTGAGCAGCAACGCGGTCCAGTCTCAGCACTGCACTGACGAGGTGTCGCTGGCCTACATCTCCAACAAAGCCATCTTCCCGGTCGCTAAGGAACCCTTTGATAAGATCTACAAGGATCTAGCGTTTGGCATGTAAGTATCAACACAGCAGCAGTGGCTTCTGAAGCCATCAGTACTACTGAACTGTGGCATTAGGAAATAGATTCAGTTCTAAGTACTAACTGTAGTACAAGGGTCTGACTTACATCTAGGGATCGCATGCGTTGTTGGATACTCTTAAAATCTTAAAATGGTAACAAAGCCAACTTCCTTGTCGCTAAGGAGTCCTTCAGTAAGATCTACCAGGATCTAGCCTTTGGCATGTACATGTAGGTATCCATATACAGCAGTGGCTTCTGAAGCCATCAGTAAACTGTGGCATTAGGAAATAGACCCTAAGAGACTGCTGCATCAATTCTTAGTAGTACAAGGGTCTGACTTACATGTACATCTAGGGATCACTTCCATTGACAGAAATAGAATTTTGAAAGGCTGGGTTAAACTTGCATGCAACACAATTTATGTTCATGTTCAACCAACGCTTCATGATAAAGTCACCATCTACAGACACTGACATTTTCTGGTTCAGTATCAGTATCATATTCTTGCCATTGCTGACTTAATTGCTAGTTGCGACAGAACACAATATGAAATAGAAAATTCTACTTTTGGCATCTTAACCCAAATCATGTTAAATGAAACATTTACTATGTCTTGAACAGGAAGCTGACTCTTGCCAAGCTGAACTGGATGTTTTTCACTAGTGATGAGGAGAGTCAGAAGAGTTTCCCCACCCTGGTCACCACCATCAGGTCCTCTCTCAACAAACTCTCCAAAACCGAAGGAGTGGTGTCCACATACGAGGTAGGTATCTGTAATCTGTATAGCTGGTATAACCCTTCTGCGTAACACACCAGCTTCTGTATCTGTATAGCCGGTATAACCGCCCTTAGGCATAACACACCAGCTTCTGTATCTGTATAGCCGCCCTTCAGTGGAACACACCAGCTTCGCAGGCACACGGCATGGCAGCAGCTGGCTACATTACACCGAACGACTTGTTATACCTAACTCTTGAACATCTAACTCTAAACTATCTAATGACAATGCCCCTACTGTACTTGTGGACAGCAAGTTCCACTCTGCAATAGTGCTAGGAAAGAATGAGTTTTTGAACACCTCAATCCTTGGTTGATAACTCTGGTACTTGAAGGCATGACTGTTTCTTGTTCTTTTCTGATCTGGTATTTGGTACTTTGTACTTCCCCCAGTTTATTAGTAAGTTTTTTGTACATCATGCATAGTCTGGACATTTTTCATCTGTCTTCCAATGACACCCACTGTAGGTTTCTTTTCATTTCCATGACACTAGCACCCCTTTCATAGCTGTTTGTGCACAATCTTGGTTCTGTACCCTTTCCAGTTTATCTTTGTCTTTTTTTTTTTTGATGAAGGTTTCTTTTCATTTCGGTGACAGGTCAGTCAACTGTACGTGAAGACAGAGGAAACCCAAGAGAAACAGCCAGGATTCTGGGAGAGGAAGTTTGGAAACGTGAGGACGAACATTCCGTGGGTCGAGTTCAAGAGGGCATTCCTGGAGGAGTACCAGCGGAAGCTGGACAAACATTTTCCGGGAAAACAGCAGGAATTTCTGATGAGACTGATCAACGTGGACCTTCTAGAGGGAAGCCAGAGATTTCATCGTGAGGCGTATGATAATTTTTGTGGGACACAGGTCAATGAACCCCACGGTTTTTACAGCAGAGTTAAAGAGTACTGTGGCAGTAAACAGGCGATGAGGGAGGTCTTCGGTATGGACTCCACAGTTCGCCTCTCTGCAATACAGAATCTGGGTAACAGCTTTTTATTGTCATCCTCTTAAAATAAGAATTAAATACTGACTAGTACAGCAGCAAGAGTTATTGCTACTACAGTACAAAGAATGCAGTCCCAGACATATGCACATTTTAGTTTGAATCCCAACCATTATTGTTACAATTCATGCCTTTAGTAGATATTCTGATCTGGTTGTGTACAAATTTTTGAAAGAATACATTTTACATATATCGGCACTGAGTATGCTATATTCCTTATCTTTTCCCTAAAGGGCTTCAGGTAGACAATAGCCTGTTTGATTGTACATGAAGTGGTTACTCAACATTTCAGTATCTTTTTATCACAGGTAAATTCAAGACACCTGGTGTGGTATCTTCTCTGAAGAAGCTTCTGGCAGATGAAGACCCCAACATCCGGGCTGTGGCAGCTATCGCTCTTGGCAAGACAGGTAACAGCATACACAAAGCTGAAGTTATGTATGGCTGAATGTCCTGTCATTCTACAGCAACATGCTAGATGGCACTTCTATGCTGAGACATAAATGTAAACAATGAAAATGACAATCTTGTGGCCTCTAAAGATATTTCTTTGCCCACCAAAAGTTTGCTGGCCTTTTAATTCACAGACTGTGCTAGTGCAATGACCAAGTTGGTAGAGTATTCGTCTTTTGGTATTTGGTATTGCCATTTGACATTTGGTAGGTTGTGAATTTGATCCCTGGCTGAGTCATACCAAAGACTTTAAAGCATTTGCAAAAAAGAATATGGGAGTTAAACACACACCAGTACCAGTGGACTAGCCTAATGCTGTAGTGATTGCACAACTCTGTGGCCCAAGGGCTACTGAACCAGAGATGGGCATTGCCCTGTGCACCAGGAAGGACTTCAACTATCCATGCTCTGACAGGGTCTAATGGTGTAACTTATTTGAAAGTAACTCAACAAAATCTATTTAATTAAGGAAGTTCAGCACCAAGGACAGTACCAGGGACATGGTGCCCTATGTAACATCTAATGAATGAAAGAGGATGGACACAGCCCTATGTGTCATCTGGTGGCATCATGGAGTTTTACTAACTTAGGAGTTTTACTAACTAAGGTTTGAGATTGATAACTACTGAATGACATCTATCTCACCACAGGTACATGTACACCAGACATCGTCCAAGCACTGGTGGACCTGCTGAAGGATGAAGACAGGCTGGTACGGGAGAGTACCTGTGTGTCGCTGGGTTACCTACAGGCTCAGGATGCTGTGCCTCATGTCATTAATGCCTGGTGAGTAATCTCCTGAAGTTCCAGTCCTTTACATCTCAACTGAACAGGTCTGCACCCCTGGCCTGCCTAGCAGGATATCAGACTATGATGATAGTCGCCGAATGTCAGTAGGTACGGGTACTGAGGCAGCTGTTTGTCATTGTTCTCCATTGACTATTTTTAGCTAGTTGTGTCAGTGAGAGAATTCCAAATTTTTCATGTAAAATGGAAAGAAGATACTGCTCCAGAAAGACTTAGAGACTGGCGTTTGGACTCCTCAGGTGTCTTATAGACACCAAAATGTAATCTAGGTGAGACAAGTTTGGTTATGTAAAAGAAAACTCCTGTATCCTACTATGCTTTACCAACCTGATGTAGAAGTAGAAGAGAACCTTCTTCCAAAAGAGAATTTTCCCAGGTGGGTTCTAGGTTAGAGCCAACTTTGCTATAGTAACTATACTGTATATATAAGACAATATTGGCATACACTGCACCATAATAGTATAGCTGACCTTGACTTGAAGCTGACCTTGACCCTCTTACCCTGCAGGAGAAACGACCCAATCTCGCACGTCCGAGAGGCGGCGCAGGCAGCCCTGCGTGTGATTGGTGGAGACGAGGCAGACCAGGCCGTGCACATCACACAGGTGCTGACCAGAGAGATGAACGACCTGGCCAAGTGATCAGCAGGGGAAAGTTTCTCCTTTTAAAAAACCCTGCCACACAATCAAAACGTTCCAGCGGACAAATGTTGGCTTAAGTTTGGGACCATACTACCTTGCTATATGACTCTGATAGAGTCGGACAATCTGGCCAAGTGATCAGCCGGGGAAAGTTTCGTTTGATTCCCGTTAGAACATTCCAACACCAGCTGAGCATGATTAGGATGTCATATCTTTTGATATTTTCTTGTAATGAAAAAACATTCTATCAGTATGTACATGTATAGTTATCATGGAACAAAGCTGTACAGTACATTTGTCATTTTTATGAATTCTAGTCTTTTTGAACATTATGATTATGACCAAGGTCAGCTGACATCGGGACCAGATTTAGGCCACAACTACCTTTCTATATGAATCGGATAGAATTTGTGTTAAATTTGAGTTGAATTTGACCACCCTGAAAACTGCTGACTGACATTAAACTTGGAGAAAAATTCTATTTATTGGAAGAAGCATATTCATTTTCAGGGCCTTGGAAATCTATTTGTGTTTCTATGATAAGTTTAGATGTATTTAAACCTATTCTGTATTGCCTATGAGGAACATGGCTGACACGATTAGGATGTCATAGCTTTTGATATTTTCCTGTAATCAAAAACATTTTGCCAGTATGTGGGTATCATGGAACAAAACTGAGTGTACAGTATTTTGTCATTGTTGTGAATAGAATTCTTTGACAGATTTGTATCTAAAAGCGGTACTAAGCTTTTTTTGTGTCAGATGTGTTATACGATGTACAAAGTTTTTTTTTATCGTGAAGTGTCTTGGCTTGAGTGTAGCTACTGCTATGTATAGAAAATGTGTATTTTTGTTCATTATCCAGTTTGGAAGTGTTATGTATAGAGAGTTTACATCATACAATCAAGAATTGCAAGTCATTGCATACACTACTGCAGAGGACTTTGTCTATTTTTAAATATTATGATGTAGTTAAATAATATAATACATGTACATGTATATGCTGAATACTGCAGGGAATATTGCAGAGTAAAGTTTTTATCGGGACAAAAAGTTTTCTGTATGGTATTTATTGAACAAGTCAAAAATGCTGGATCAACATGACACATTACATATAAAACATAAACTTCACATACAGCAGTTGGTTCTTACAATGGATGAAATAAACTCTTCTCTGAACTTTTTATACACAAGTTCAAAATGATTGCCAAGACAATAAATAGATGATATATATATATAATATATACTTAAAAACATGACACAAATACAAAGTAAGCAACATTAATGTTCCTAACATTTAGTCTACGAAAATTAAATGGTACAAATTTTGCCTGACATAGTTTACACCATCATTGGCACTGCTAATTATTACTAGTCTTTAGAGTAAAAACTGTTTTGATACAAACAACCACAAAATATTTGCAACCAAGAAGAAAACAGCATCACAACTAACTGTTTTAATAATGTGTTCCTATTTACTAACTCCCAAGTATCTAGCACGAGGGGTTCTCTAATACAGTGTATCTACATGTACAAGGAGGTTCCTTTTTGAACCTCCTTGGTATCTATAAAATGAAGATCATATAGGCTAAGCACAAGTCACATTTTAGGTAAAATGTCTCATACATGTACTGCCAGCTGTATAATACAAACAAAAAAGGTTGGTTATAAAAATGGAAGTAAAAGCTGTGTGGGTTACAATGGCGTCATTTGGGACCTGATAATACACCAATAACTAGAGAGTGTGGCCTCGCCAGTGTGGACCCACTGGATAGAGCTGCTTGGAGGTGCAGTGTGAAGTTTAGCCAGCTGCTGCCAACCCGTGTCAGGGACCCCACAGCAGTATAATCAAAGACTAATACACAGAGTAAGGTTTGCCTGCCATGCTTTAATCTATTTTACATACCTGGATTGGAAGCACCTTTGGAGGTATATGCACCAGTACTAGACTAAGTGCAGAATTCGTTGTGCGGTGTATATAGTAGTATACATGTACTATGTTACATGTATGTATACATGTACCAGTCCTGTATTTTGACACTTAGAATGTTGTGCATTTTTTAAAGGCATTTTCAAGCTATACGATTATCATACTGTTTCTTATGGCATGTTGTTCCACATTGTATTCTTGCACTACAGTAGTCATCCCAGCATATACTATTAATACCTTACAGTCTAAATACTAACTAATACGTTAAACTTCTGAAAACCATGCCTTGCCTTTAGTAAGTATGTACAACTTGGCCACAGTTAGAGATAGACAGTTACACTCCCCGAAACGTTCTGACAATCTTCAGTCTCAGACTGCTAGTAAAAAAACAGAACAGGACCACAGTGTGTGTAATCCTTATTGTAAAAGCCGGCTCTAGTCAGAGGGTTACTACTTGAATTATTCTAGACATTAAACTACAGATGGTGCTATACATACATGTATACAACCTATAGGCTTGATGAACAAGTTTTATCACATTAAAACCCTACATTTATGAGACACATGGCATCACACATAGGTTACATGGTTATGTTGCGTGAAATGAACACTGTCTCCTAGAGAAATAGTACATTTCCTGTCCTGTTCCAATCTCCATCCAGACTTTCCTCTCAAAATCCATGTTAGGGGGAGGGGGGCAGTGATGGTAGTTTGTCGCTTGGGAAGCATGAAGGAAGCTTTTTTTTTTGACTGAGGTTACATTTTTTTACTTTGAGCATGATGTTCCACTGATGTTCCACAGACGATGCAGTAGCTTGAAAAGAGACAGGAGGCATCACTACCTTAACAAAATAATCAAGTCACATGACAAGAGAACTCCAAGACAAGATCTGACTTTACCAGGTTGATGAAGAGACAGGGTGCATCTCAAAAGCTCCCAGAGTAGCAAACTCTTTTTGTTGTGTCTTTGACTATAATATAGTATATTCATCAGAAGTACATGACCGTATATTCTCTAGCTGACAGAAGCGACGGATGTTACGTATGTAGTGCCTAGATGACCAGGTGTTGTTTAGGAGTGCTCCCTTGAGTAGCAAACTCTTTTTTTAGTGTGTTTGATTTTAAAATATCCGAAGTATGTTCCACTTTAGCTGACAGAGAAGCAGATGTTACCTACATTGTACAGCGTGCCTAGATGACGAGCTGGTGTTTAGGAGTGGTCTGAGTGGACTGACGTTTCTGCTCCTCGAGCTGCTGCTCCATACGGGCCAACATCTCCTGCATACGCCGCAGCTGCAACAAATGGACAGGAACAGGGTTTCAGTGTTACAATGTTAGCCTAGCCTGGGTGCCATCCTCTGTGGTTTCGGACAGCTCCCTAATGCCTTGATGGCTACCATGGTAGGGAGCCGGTGGAAACTATGGAGGATGATGGCACCCTGGCTACATCTGCAATACAGTGAAATATGTACAGGTGGCTGCCTCTACATATGAACCACCTAGCCATTGATATAAAGTCAAACCTACACAAATGAACACCTCTACATATGGACCTACCTAACCAATATGACCACCTTTTTGGTGCCAATGAAACAAGCAATAAAGACTCCTGTCTATAATGAATGCCTGTCCACGTAGACCAGTGGTGTTCTAGGGCAGTTTTGACTGAACATTGATGCTCTGAAAAAATATTTGTTCTCTTGACAGTCCCTATTGATCCCCACAGTGGCCTTCTGCAGTTTTGACTGTACATTGATTCTCTGAAATAATTTTTGTTTGTTCTGTTGACAGTCCCTACCTCCTCATCCTTCTCCTGGATGATCCTGTCTGTCTCCTGGACGTTGGCAAAGTCTGGGCTGGAGTCTCGCTTCAGTTTACTGGGAACAAGAAATAAAGCATTCATCACTTGCATGGATAACAATTTTGAAAAGGCTAGTTTGACACATATCTTACAGGAAAGATGAGTTTTGTGAAAGACTCCTAGAATTGTGGAAATAAGGCAAAACCACAATGAAAGTACTACATGTAGTAATAGCATACACAAGGAAATTCTCAGTTGACAATTTTCAAATCTATCCAGTAGCTTGTCGATGAGTAACAATTTCCTTTTGTATCTCATTACCTGGATGTCTAACCTTCATCAACATTTTAGCAATGCCAATTTCTTTCTATGGATTTCTGGCTATGTAGCTTTGGAACAGTTACTATCATTACAGTTCTAACTTGTACTTACTTTCTCTGGAACACAGCCTTGTTCATTCTCTGCAGTGTCTGTGCTCTGTAGTTCTCATAGTGGACATCTCTGGTCACGTCCTTCAGGTCCTGCATGTGGGTTCTGTGGACAGAGAGACAGCACTTTTACTTACAAGACAAGTCTCTTATAAGTAAGAGAGACAATTGGCCAAATGCCAGCCCCAAAGAAAGTTATCAACCTTTAGCAACAATAATGGTATTAATGAGTTAACAGTTATCTAAAATTGACACAATATCGCACATGTAACAGCGGATGACCAATTCAGCACCAAGGACAAAGAATTGCTTGGCACTCCTTTCCACCTCCACTTCTTTGTACCACACACACCAGTTGCAACCAAGGACCTATGACAGTATGAAGTCACTGCTGTCCTTTTAGCATTCCCAGTATATTCATAATAACATGCATCAATGATTAACCTTACCTTACACGCAGTAATGATTGACCTTACCTTACAAGCATGTTTCTCAGCTTGACAAAGTCACAGTGATCCTGATTTTCCACTGTCGTGAAAAAGGACAAAAAGACACTGTTTGAATATATACTGTGCCAAATCAACACAATTCAGTCTCGAAGACTGCAAAGCTGACTGCTCAGTAAAGTGTAAAGTTTATGTTATGATAAAGTTCTTACCTTCAACCACCCCCCATGGATACACGCGACCTCTCACCCGTCTTCCCTTCACCTCAATCACTGTGTTACTGCCAATCACTGCAAATGGAATGCACGCCTGCAACAAACAACAATTCTTTATGAAGATAATTCAACACTTAAATTTTATGTCTATGGACTGTGTGGGCATCCTTCCATCTCAAAAGATGATGGTAGCAGCGTCTAGTGTGGCTAATCAGCCCGATCTTTGCATGGCAGTCTCGGCCACAGTTGGGACACAAGAAAGTTGACTCAGAGATATGTTGTGCTTGTGGTTTTTCTTTTGCGCTTCTGGTTTCCTGCTGCTTTCTATGGACTACTGCTACGTAATTTACTAAATGCATCTTCTATGGAACTCATGACAATACATGCACAGAGCACATCTATTTTTGCAGGTAAGCATTTGATTATATGAATGCAAACACAATTTTGTAGCTTTTTCTATGTGCACCAGCCAAAGATTGTCAACCGAATGAAGCCAATCGTTCAGCCAATCCTTCCCAATAAATTTTACCTGATCCCTGTACTCCCACTGGTCAAAAACACACAGAGAAACAAAACTGTGTTACAAATAGAAGAAACTGCCTAAGATCATTCAGAGAAGTCAGACAACATGACAGCTGACAGAAAGAAAAGGTACAATGGCTAAAGAAGAACTTCTTGATCACGGAAAAAACTTCACCAAAATTTTCACAATATCTTGCCAATTCAGGACATAGGGGCCGTAGCTTTACGGCAGTCTATAATATCAGTCTTTTTTTGTTGAAACAAAGAATACCGTGTCTGACCTTGAGAGCATCGTCCTGCTGCTTGAACTCCTCATCCTCATCTGAGTCACAGTCTGGAAACTGGTAAATCTTTATCTCACACTTCTCTATCTCCTCATTAATCTGGAAATTAACGAAGGTACAATCGTTATAATATAGGTAACTCATCCGTAAATAGTTTTATCAGGTTGGGAAGTCACTGAATAAGGAGATTCTTATTACACAACCACAATGAAGTGTTCTAGTTAGTCAACGATTAGTTGCAGTACTGCAACTCATATACAGGGGGCATTCTTTCTCATTGAATCTCCTGATCATGGAATTGGTAGACCTGAAATACTTTTGCTTGCAATCTGAAAATGATATAAAGGAGGTAGACTAACAAAACCTTGGGAATCTACTGAAAGACTTTTATCTACAGGCATAGTTGGTATACAGGTAGCTGCCCCTCGGCATAATAATGGAAGAGACTGACACTGGATGCCACCATAGTCCCTCAGGCATTAGGATGGGGCTAGGTAAAGGTAAAGTATGCTGTAAATGATTTACCTTTGCCTTGAGCTTTTTAACCTCTGCGGGAGTGAGGGTGTCGGCCTTGGCAATGACAGGGACGATGTTGACCTTGTCCTGAAGCCGCTTCATGAACTCTCTGTCCAACGGTCTCAACCTGGAGAAAAAAAACAACCACACATTTTAATTTGTTTTTGAAGGTGGAGAACACATAAAACCGCACCTGAAATACACCAAAAACAGTTACTCAATCAACTGGATGTGATTTTGGAAACGGCCAGAAAAGCAATTAAGTTAGGGACAACTCTCCAGTGTCACCGACAAAAGGTAGTGGATGCTACCTGAAATGTCTGACCGTTTCCAGAATCATATCCATTTGCTTGGGTAACTGTTTTTTGGGTATCTTACATATATTACCTAGATGTCTAACCTTCACCAATGCACTTGAAATAATTCACATAGTTTGAAATAACAGAAAAGCCGCTGGCACATCAAGAATCCGTAAATGCTCCCACTGTTTCCAAGTCACGGATCCTTGGTGTCTTGTGTTTACTAACAAGCTTTGCCAGGGTTTCTCAGAAACATAATGCCTAGATTTGTCTCTGCTTACGCTTTAGACTAACATAGGGAGTAAAGTGAGCCTTTGACACAAATTCCATCACCTCGGCTTTCTTGAAGTATTACGTTTAAGCCACTGTTCCCTGTTCTTTGGAAAACAGCCATAGAGACCAACTGGCTCCCACTAAATCAGCTCAAATGTCAGCCTGCCCCAAAACCACAACACACTGTGGCTCGCTGAAAGACACTTTGTCAAGTCTTCGTGTCACTTTTGACTTTGTTTAAGGCAGGTTGTCAGTTGTTACCCTTTTCGAGTTCGCTCACGTGAAACTGTATAACTTTGGTAAATATTTGTAACTTGAAAGGTCTTTGACACTCGCTGACCCTGCTAGAAGAACAGGCATGGGGAGGGGCACTTTTCTCACAGATACTTTACTACAACAACCAACAGTTATTTTTCTTTTGTTCCAACAATAATACTAAGTAATACAGTATATACAGCTGTATTTATACATGATGTTCAACATCTCACAGAATATCCCAGATGCCATCTCCTTTTACATAACTGCTCAATATTGTGCCCATCATTTGACAGAAGAAGTTTTTTCAGGGGGGAAGGGACAGGTTCAAGTCAATGCTTACAAAGATGCCCTCATACAATGTAACATCGAATTTGTGTGGCATAGTCAAGCTCATACAAATGTAGGACACTGTATGAGGGCTTCCATGGTCACTGACCCTTAAACATGAGGATGGGATGGGGTACAGGTACAGGTAGTTAATCAGGCAGAAAATTAGCATGAAAGCTCATCAGATGAAGTCAGTACTTCCACTAAACACAATCAAATTTTCAGTTGCACAGCCATCACCCACCAGCCAACACTCAACCGGGACGGGGGCCGATATTACGATTCATGTCACATATCCTGTGCTTGTTAGAGTAGTTAAATCACTTCACTCCTGAAGGTGTTGAAGAAGGTTGAGGAATGTGCGACTGAAGACTCTAGGTGAGCAACGGTCGATTGTGTTGAACAAAAGTACTAACATCATAACACTAGCAGGCAGACAGTTAATCAGGTAGAAATGTGTGAAAACTGCATACTGACCCATGTCCATAGGGAGGTATGAAGTACAAGCAGCAGTGGACCCTGTTGTCGGTGATGTTCTTACGGTTCAGACCGCTCTCGTCTCGGAAATACTGCTCAAACTGCGCCTCGATGAAGTCTGCCACCTGCTTCCAGCTGCAGGCAAAAGAAGAAAGTCAGCTGCTTAATACAGTTATCAATCCTCATATGGCCTCCTTCCGTCAATATTGACCATGGTAAAATCTTTGGCTGAACAGGCTGAATTTCAATTATGAAAATGAGTGACAGACAGATTAGTATGAGACAAGTCTTCCGACACAAAAATGAAATTGCGTTGGGAATCACAGTTCAAATTTCAAATGAAACCTTATTTCTGTTGGTAGAATCCATAGTTGAAGAATTCAACGTTCCAACACAAAGTTCAAACTTGTTTCATGAAAACTTCTACCCACCGAGGAGATTATACAGATGTCCTTGTACCAACATAGATTAACTTTCCAGCTAAGACAGGTTACTGAAATGCATTACTGGAAGACACAGCAGTAATACATTAGACACTTTGAACTCTTACTGAATACATAGAACAGTAATAAAGGTAACTCACCAGTCAGAACAGTCAAGTGAGTCCCCAAACCCTGGTGTGTCGATCACGTTCAGTTTTAGCTTCACTCCCTTCTCCTCAATCTCTACTGTCGACTTCTTTATCTCTACCGTCTTGCTTATTCTCTCTGAAAAATAAAGTAAACAGAAAGCATAATTCACAAGTGATACTTTCATCAGTATTCGTGAATAGTTTCATAAGGTTGGTAAGTCACTGAATAAAGAGACTCTTTTTTTATGTTTGGGAATGCATCTATAGCAGCGACACCTGTGCTGCTGTGCAATGTGAGCCAGTCAGAATTGCCCTGAGGAAGGTGACAGACGGTCACCGAAACGTCGGCTGAATACAACACTTGGTTGTGTAAAAAGAGTCTCTTAATTGGGATACTAGTCTTTGGAAGTTATCAATCAATTCTTAGAAATCCAATATCTAATATATGACTTACAGGACATTAGTAGAATGGTTACTGCAGTGTAGAATCTAAGAACCATGGAAACCATGACCTGAAGACGTCTTACCTTCAGCAGTTGGCACCACCTTGTCCTTGTACAGGTCTGTGAGGAACAGACTGTTGATCAAGGTCGACTTTCCCAAACCTGTCTCTCCTATACAACACACAGAAAAAAAAATATAATATCAGTTACTATACCATATTGCTATACCTTATTGCTACACCTTGATACCAATGATATACAATCCACCTTTTGTACAGATTTGGTTATTTTTGGTTATAGTATAATAAGTCATCCAGTTTGTTTGTTTATTGTTTATTTACCATTTGCACGTATATTAAAAACAATTACACAATCAAATAATAATAATCAAAGAATGTGCGGGGTAGGCCAGAAACCTGGGTGGTTTTTCTAGAGGCCTACCCCAAGCAAAGATAACTTATGACAAAACATATTTAAATTAAACATCAAAATTAAACAATGAAATAATTAAACAATGATTAATTAAACAAAATCAAGACACAGAAATAATAACTGAGGTGTATAAACTAACTAAAACGAAATTAAACAAAAGTCTTATACCTGTAATTCAGGTACATGTTACAGATTAAACTGATTAAATAATTAACATAAGAATTAACGATTAAAACAAAATATTAACAATAACAAGGAAAACAAACAAATCAGATTGTGGATGTACTGGGATTTTGTAGGAAAAAGTTTTTAAGAAGTTTTTTAAATACAGGAGTTGACTGGCAGTTTTGTAACAGTTGGCTTAACTTATTCCAGACAATGGGGCCTCTATACGCTATTGAGAATTGTTTTTGTGTAGATTTAGTCTTGATCGGCCTTAAATGGTTATGTTGTCTCGTATTGTGCTGGTGAATGTCTGAGTTGAATGTAAAAAAAGTGTTGAATTGATCTGGTAAACTATTGGTATTATGAACGATTTTATGAACAAAAATGGCTATTTGTAATTTGTTTAAGTCATATACACTTATGATTTTTAGTTCACGAAACAGAGGTGCTGAGTGTGCTGTGAAGTGTGTATTAGCTGCAATTCTAACAAAGTGTTTTTGTAGTTGATAGAGTGGTTTAATTGAAGTTGTGTAAGTGCTCGCCCAAATGAAATTGCAGTATGATAGATACAGATATATTAGACTGTAGTATAATGTTATGAATATTCTTCGTGGGAGGAGGGTCTTTATTTTTCTAATGATGCCTATGTTCTTATGAATCTTATTGCAAATCAAATCTATATGTATCTTCCAATTAAGTTTTTCATCTATAAGTATTCCTAAAAAGCGAGTGTGGTTTACTTGATTGATACGTTTATTATTTATATATATGTGGGCTTTTTCTTTATCATACTTCTTTTTTGGTCCAGAAAAAATAATAAAACTTGTCTTCTTTATATTAAGGGATAACTTATTCGCCTTGAACCATTGACTGACCTTTTCTAATTCTGCATTTACCGTTGTCAATAGAGTATCAAAATTACTGTGTGACGTAAATAAGTTTGTATCATCTGCGAACAACAAAGTAAAAAATTTATCTGATACTAATGCTAAGTCATTAACATATATTAAGAGTAAAAGGGGGCCTAATATGGAGCCTTGCGGAACTCCACAAGTTAAGGGTTTCTGAGAAGAATTGATGTTTCCATTAGAGACGAATTGTTTTCTGTTACTTAAATAATCTTTCAGCCAACACAGGACGGACCCATCAAACCCATAATTTAAAAGTTTTTCATGAAGTATGTTATGATCTACCGTATCAAATGCCTTAGATAGGTCAAGGAATATACCAATGGTGTATTCATTCTTTTCAAGGGCTGCGGTGATTTTGTTGATGAGCTGCAAGAGTGCCATATATGTTGAGTGTTTTTTTCTAAATCCATACTGGTGGGTGTATAAGATATTATTAGTTTCCATGTGGCTCACTATCCGTTTATATACGATTTTTTCTAGGATTTTTGAAAAGACTGGTAATAGTGATATTGGGCGATAGTTAGTGAATACGGACGGATCCCCTGCTTTATGTAATGGAATAACCTTTGCCGACTTTAACTCAGAGGGAACCTTACCACTTTCCAAAGAAGTCTTGAATACATGTGTTACTGGATTTAAAATTTCTGTAGCGATCTGTTTTAAAAGACTGGCACTGATTTCATCTTGTCCTGGCGCTGCATTTTTTAAATTGGTGATTATGTCGTAAATTTCTGTCGATGTAGGAGCCTCAAAAGAACTTACAGGAGGATAGGATCTAGAGTCTTGGAGATATGATAAGGGTGAATGGTCAGTTATATCGATTTCTTTCGCTAAGGACGGGCCAATGTTGACAAAGAAATCATTAAGTTTTTCCACTATATCTTTAGGATCAGATATCTCTGAATTTGGTAGGAAGATTATTTGTTCCTTTTTTCCGGTTGAGAATTTCATTAATTACTTTCCAAGTCTTTCTTATATTATTTGATGCCGCTGTGAATTGGTCTTGGTAATATTTTCTCTTTGACATACGAATCAGACAATTGAATTTGTTTCTGTACGTTTTATATCTTTGTAATATTAATGGTGTAGGATTCCTTACATATTTCTTATATAGCCTATTTTTCCTAATGGATGACTTACGCAGCCCTGTTGTAAACCAAGGTTTGTCGATGCCAAGGTGACGCTTTGTTGAGATTGCCGTAAGTGGAAAACATTTGTCAAAATGTGAAGAAAAGATTTTTAGGAAATTTGTGTAGGCAACATTTGTATCTGTACAATACACACTGTCCCAGGTTTCATCTGATAATGCCTGTTTAAATCTGTCGATATTACTCCTGGTAAATTTTCTGCATTTGCGTTTTTCATTTTCTTTGTTTACATCTCTGTTGTGTTCAAAATTTATAATGTAAAATATTGGAAGGTGATCAGATAAGTCCGTGACAAGTAGACCCGATGTGTGTGTATTAGATAAGGAGTTAGTCATAATATTGTCTATTAGAGTTGCTGTTTTGTCTGTTATTCTTGAGGGTTTGGTGATAGTTGGATAGAAGCTTACCGAGTACAGACTATTTAGGAAGTCTGAAGTTAATGAATGACTTTCGTTTTTTAAAAGATCAAGATTAAAATCACCAACTAGGTAACAGTTTTTTCCTTCTTTATCAATAGCATCTAAGATTGGTGTAAGGTAAGTTATAAAGTTTTTTATATCCGAGTTTGGAGGCCGGTATATGCAGCCTATTATAACGCCTTTTTGTTTTGTTAATGGTGACGGTGGGAGTTCTATAAATATTGATTCAACTTCTTTTTCAACTTGTACTGTAAGGTCATTTCTCTCAATAAATTTTTGGCTCTCATGTATCAGTATTGACACCCCCCCACCCATTCGAGCTGATCTACATTTGTGTAATGAAGTGTAGTTTGGTACATCGTACAAGTATGCGGTAGTGTCTTGCAGCCATGTCTCAGTGAGACCAATAATTGTAAATTCATGGTGGAGGGTGGACAGGTAATGTACGAAGTGGTCGTGATGACGTGGTAGGCTTCTAATATTTAAATGTAGAATTGAAAATGCACTCTGGGTTAGCGTGTTGCACAAAGTATTAAATGAATTTTCTGTATAGTACTGACATGAAGTGTTTGCTAAGCTTCTTAAGAAGTTTACGTCAGGGTCCCAATCGTCTGTATAATGCGTGCTATTGTCGTTTTCGTCATTCAGAAAAAAAGGGTCAAAAATCAGATTGTGATTTTCTAATGATGAAAATGCAGTTTGAGTTCCTTGTTTGGTAGACCCAGAAGTATTTGACGTTGTCATTATTTATAGCTTAGAACAATAAAGACAATAACATTACGTAAATGACACATAGATTTAATTAAGACACTTCCTGTAAGAATTTTAGAAAAACTGAATGTAATTTCCAGTGGAATTCAGATGACCAAAAGTTGCTGGTGACACTGTCATTTGCTTTTCTGTCAAATATTGAATAAACCATTCATCATTACCTTACTATAGATTTTTTTACTAAACAATGTTTCTTTCAAACTGTTTCTGCCAGGTATAATATGTTACTTATAAATCAGCAAAGTCATTGTGTGTTTGTGTATGACATAATTATACAAGGGTAATGGCCTTCAGGAATGTGGGGCATTTAGAACAATGTTAGTGTTTGTTGCAAGTCCTGCATTCCTCTTTACTTAGTCAAATAGTTACACCTATAGTTTTCACTGTTACTTAGTTGCAGAGATAGAGCTGTGTACCTAAACAAATTTTAGGTACAGGTACAGGTACAGGTACACAGGTTTAGGTACAGGTCCGGACCTGAACCTGTACCTGAACAATTCGACCAATTTATATGCTCTTCTGAACTCCTTCAATAACAAAAAAAAACATAAATAAACTTGATAGTTAAGGTTTATTCTTTGTTTATGGCGAATGCTCAGATAAAATATAGGTGTTTTTGTTTTCATGAACACACTGTCCTTACACAGGGACCCATTGTTAACCAGCTATTTACACATTTGAGGTCACAAATAGGCATAAAATTGGTGTGAAATTGTTTAGGTACAGTACCGGTACTGAGGGATTAGGTATTTTGGACCTATACCTAATCAATTTTTCCGGTACAGAATAGGTACTGCTTACCGGTACACAGCTCTATGCAGAGACTATACAGGTAAACAATAGGTACACAGTAGACGTTCATAGTTGAACTTTGAAGTGTGACAGACTGGCTCAGGAATTCGGTACATGTGCTCTGTTTGTCTTAAGGTAGACTTAAGGTACACTACAGATAACGCCAGGTGTGCTAGTGTGTTCTACACCTGGGCTCTTTTGTCGAACTTACATGTATCAAGCAATGTTCAACAATGACAGGCACTGCTATTTTTCCCTAGCACAATAGATGCTGATACAGCTTTTCAAATAGAACTTAACATACCTTAACATACAATAATAATAATATTCAATTCTCTGTATCTGTTTTCAACTTTCTATTTACTTATTTCAAATGCAACAGAACATTACACCGACTTACAGTCAGCTAGGCTGATACTCGTTATTTTTAATTTTTTATGTTATACTACTATTCTTTTTTTTCTCAGAATCACTTTGTAAAGTGATCACTTTAAAGAAATGCTTTGATCCCAAACTGAGAACGTATACTTCACATGTGGTGGTATCATTGAGCCTTCGCTAAGTACCCAGAACATACCAGGTTAAAAACCCGAAGCCACATCAGACAAACCAGCACAGCAGGACACAGCTTGACATAAACAAACCACAGAATTCCATGAATGATGCTGCAGCTCCTTTTTTCTCCCAGTAAAAGGTAGTGTATGTATTGCCTGAAGCACTTGGCAATGGCAGTTGGAAAACATACAAAGATTCACCAAATGTTCAGCAGCAATAGTTTGGGAGTTAAAGGCATCCAATGTAATTGCAGGGTGGTTACAAAAAACAAAACAATATTCTGGAAAAGGAATCTGTCTGATATTGACATTTACTGCCATTTCACAGCACATTTCAACTGCAACTTACTACCAAAAAAAGTGACCAGAAAATTGACTTTACAAATTCAGTTCTACTTTCCTGAAATAACTTTAGGTGCTTTTCATATGGTATTAAAGCCACACCCACCTACAACAATCAGTGTGAACTCAAAGCCTTTCTTGATGGATTTGCGGTGGACCTGGTCGGGGAGGGTGGCAAACCCTATCAGCTGGCCTGCCTGCTCTGTATGATCCTGTATAATTATACAAAAAACAACAGAGAGTTAAAATGATCATTATTGTGGTTAAGACAAACATATACAAGATAACTGGATAAAACTATTAAAAGTCACCTTAGGTCAGCCATCTTTTCTGAAATAGAGAACTCAGAAGGTGCAAAAAAATAGCCTGAGTGTCTTAAAGTAAAAAGGCTGACATTCAGGCTAGCGAAAGTAAGTATGTGTGCATTGAACTATTTAGACACTGAGACTGCAATTAAAGACTTTAGATCTACATACAATCAATACAAGGAAAATACACATTTAATATATTGTACCGCTAAAAAACATGACAACTATTATACAATGATCCATAACAGTTGCAACATGATACAGATACATGACATACCTCACATGTAAAGAGCTATAACATTACACATATCAAATACATTGTAATTCAAACCACCATTTAAATTTTCCTCCCTAGTCATACCCCAGTTGTTCCAAACTTAACTCAACTATACATGCACATACCAGCATCCTATAACTCAAGTAGTTTCCACAGTACATGATGCAAAAGTTCTCGTATTCCAAAGCTACTGTCTTGAAAATGGACAAAGGATCTGTAGTATCAAAACTGGAACAGCAGTTTTACCCTGTAGGTACAGCATTACAAGCCCTGTCCTAGTTTTACCCAAGGTTAGAGAGGTCATCCTTCTCACCAACTATTAATAACTCGTTGGCCCAGCCAAGACCTGCAGTTGGTTGCTAAGTTCCCAGTGTATAATAACTAATCATTAACCACCTACTATAATACCTCCCGACTAGTTAAATCCCTGGGTAAAGCTAGAGGTCAGGCTTCCGTGGTGTAGATTTAAACCTCTTTTTTCATTAGATGACAGCCAATTTTTTATTTACAGAACAGGTAGAACAGGTTTATGATCTGTCTGGACATTTGCTATGGTGTTTTTGGCTTACTGGGATATCAATATTTTTCATTAAAGAGTATCTACAAGATAACCCTGTTTTCTCATAACAAGATCAATCAAGTTTTCAAAAGGGGTAAGGGATTTAACTTTCATCCGTCTGAAGAAAATGTTTTATAAAACATTATTAGTGAAGAGGTAAAATTTGTTTTATTGAAGCAGTATCTACAAGATAACCCTGTTTTCTCATAACAAGATCAATCAAGTTTTCAAAAGGTGCAAGGGATTTAACTTTTATCCGTCTGAAGAAAATGTTTTATAAAACATTATTAGTTGAGTGCTAAACCTTATCTGTGAGGATAATTGTTTGAGACATGTATTCCCTGGAAATATATTAACTAGAGGCTAGAAAGTGAAATGTTATACATCAACAGGGAGTTACTTATCAGAGAGTTAATTGAGTTCATCACACTGTAGACTAGCATAGCAGTGTAGTCAAAACAAAGGGGCACATGACATCACCTGTTGCTGTAATAGACTATGATTTAAATCTCCACAAAGCCTGGTTTAGGGAACCACTTTCACTTTACAGGGCTGAGGTTCTGTATTGTATAGCAAGTTACTCTCCAAGCAGAGGTTTGGGTTTTGGCTTATTTTTGGCGTGTTTTTAGGCTTTTTTATCACAATTTCTTTTTTGCTTTTGTGTTCTTTTGTACGCCAACCCCCCAAAAACAGTGCAAAAAAAAGAAAGTCTGATAAAAAAGCCTAAAAAACACACCAAAAATAAGCCAAAACCCAAACCTCTGCTTTGAGAGTATAGCGAGTATGCCAGCATGCTGTGGCAGCTGGTTATATCATATTTTACGACCTGACACACCTAACCTTTGCACATATAACTCCAGGCAGTGTCTAGTGAAGATGCCCCTGTTATGCTTGTGGTTTGAATGAATCTTGTCTCCATTTGAAGTGGGAAATAGGATCATCAGGTATTAAAACTAACTGCTTTTTAACAAAGGATTAGCAATAAAGCAATATTTGACACTTTTCAATTTTAATATGAGGAGGGTTTTGAACAAGGATAGCATAAACCACAATAGCTAGAGGTAGAATATATACAGCCCATACCCCCACCCTTCTCCTTCTAGTCTTGCCTGCCCTGAGCCTGACCCTAGGTCCTTTTACTGTCTTCTCCCATGTAGGGTGTTGTAGCTATCAAAACAAACATTAAGGCCAGGGGGCAGTTACAGAAATGACAGAGAGAAGCTGCACCTGTGCAGCAACTTGTCACTATTTCTCACAATATGCTGGACGAAAATCAAAACGAAACTTCAAATATTTCTTTCTGTAGATGCTAAAGTTTGGAAATTAGCAAATTTTCTTCTTCTGACATTTCTGTGTCAGCTGGACTTGTCTTCAGTGGAATGACATAACAGGTCAACCAGAACTGTCAAAATGTTTTGGTTGGTCAACAAGGCATGGCAGTACATGGTTGGGTAGGCACTGGTAACTTTAATACCAACTTGAGTAACTTTCCAGAAATCAGCAGACAAAAAGCTTCAAGAGTAGAGAAAATTACTGTAAACTATCATTACTACCATCAACTTTGTATTTGTATTTATTAGCAATGATACATAAACTTTAGATAAACTTTAAATCATTTACTCCGTGTTCAGAAAAGAAACTCTAATTGCAATATACATTGTATCTTGACTATCATAAACAATATTTATTGTAATTTAATAACTCTAGGCCGATATAATATACAATGTATATAGACTTTTGTAACATGACTTCAGGCTCAAATCTGTTTTGTCTTGTACATGTATATAGGAATGAGCCATCCTGTTCGACCTGCGCAGTTAGTCATAGTCTCTAGAGACTGACTGACATATATAGGAAATATATCTACTTATAACAAGAAAGCTGGTGTTACAGTGGGTTTCTCACAACAGAGACAATATTGTAAGTAACACACCAACACAGAGTAACCCAAGCAAGCCCTCCCCAACCCTTGGCCAAATATATCGCCGTTAAACATTTACACAGGTCATCATCGGGCTACCAGCAAGTATTTGCCAACCCTCTCAACAACCAATTATCACATTAGAAGAAGGTGGGATATTTGCATGGGGCCCATCAGTACATATTTGTCCATGGAAGGCATTTAAATCATCACTACGACAGGAATGGAAAAAACTTTTAAAAAATGTGATCAGGAATGGAGATCACAAGGCTATACCTTAATATTTCTTACTCTTGATAAATGTCAGGTATTTTTTTGTCTTACCGAAATTGGCAAACCTTTTGCTGTGAGTGTGAGGAGGAATATACTGTAAATCACATTATGTTCATAGTAGCAATCTGCAAAAGTTCACAGTCTGAGAAAAATGTTTCCAGAACTATAACGTTATGTTCGCAGTGGCGGTAGGTGCAACAAAAATAAAGTCGGCAAACTATTTTTCACAGTAATGATAAGTTTGCGGTACAGAAATGACCGCGAAAACCACAAATATAAAAGTACCGTGAAAAAACTGTAATTTACAGTATATCCAGCCCTCAATAACTTTCAAGACATGCCATATATGGTGCTTCTTGTTGAAAAAGGCCTCAACAAGAACCACAACTGCCCTGTGTAGCACTTTCTTGTCGTTCCCAAATGGTATGTTTAAGAATCGCCTTCCTGAGTTGGAGTAACGACAGGAAATACTTCAGTGACTTCCAGGTGAGGGCTGTCAACTGATGAGACATTTAAGGCCACACCAATTTAATTTGTTGGTTCTCGAATTCGCCTATTCGTTTTTTTCTGATTTGCAAAAAAAAAAAAATTGATTCTGGTCCTGAATCAACTGAAAAATGCTCATGTTTTGCCCCCCAACAGTTGAGGAAAGTCCTTTTCTTCCTAGTTGTTACAGTTTTCCCATCTATTAAGTATCATTGCAGTGGTTTGATTAAAAGTTCAAAATTCAATGTTCAAATTTTAACCCAGCCTTTTGTGTTGACTTCATGGCTCATTTTGTAGCATTTAAGCCTATAATAGGATGCCTAGACCTATTCTTATTTTTTTTTTTTTTGCCCTGTCGCTTCATATTTTTTCTGAAACAAATCCGAGAGCCAACAAATTAAATTGGTGTGGCCTAACTTGTGGAAACTGGAAATTCTGGGAGGTCCATCCCTTATTTGGGTAGTATAATGTTACATGTAGGGGAAACTAATACAGCGGAACATTTGAGAAGAAAACAATGCAAGCTGTCCATATCTTACAGTCTAAACAGTTTGTTTTGCCAAACCAAACACACAAAAACAGTGTAAAGGACATGTCAAGGAATTTATGTTTCCAACCTTCGATATAAGTTTTGTACACATTGAAGGCAATAATAATGAAAAACTGGTTGTCATTGATGATGATTTATAATTATGATGGTAAACATTCCTAAGTCTAAAATTTGTACTAAAACTAAAATAAAAGCATATGTCAGACTTTTAAGACTAACCAGTGAGACATATTTCACATGACAACATATTTTCCTCTTGTGCCAACCCTTGCTGTGTCTGTATTCGTATTTGTTTAGCTGACATAACCTTCTGCTTAATTTTATAACACACCAAGCTCTTTAACTCAAGAGAATAAAAAAGGGCACATTTCTTTCCACTTACTTAGAAATTTACTGGCCCCAGCCCATGAAAACCAGACTTCCCTGGTATTAGTAGTAAACCTTTCAGCCCCTTGACCCCACATGACCCCCTTGGCCTGTTCAGAGAGAAGTTCACTTCCAAGTGTAAAACCAGATGTTCTAACACCCACTTCATCTAAACCAGAGCCCGATCTCCAAGAGTGAACTACTCAACACTGACAGCAGAGCTACAAACGAAAACACCAATTTCAAGACAAAGTCAGAAGACAGAATGTAGAAGTATCTAACTGTGAAACTGTCTTAAGAAGTAATGCCCAAAAGTGAATTAACTCAACTTTTGTGCATGCACAGACAGCAGGGCTTCAAATAAAAACACCGATTTTAGAACAGAAGACAAGATGTGGAAGTGTTTAACTTGTAGTATACCACTGTGACGATTCTTTAGAATTGTTATCAAAGGTCAAACTAGAGTTCCACG